CCCAGGGACCCCAAACTTCCCTTGGAGCCTCCCGAGCCCCCCCTCACCCTCGGCCGCCCCGATCCCAGAAGCCCCCGCGCGGACAATGGGGGTGGGCGGGGCCAGGCGAGGCCACGCCCCCTCATTAATAATGGAACATGCCAAGGGGCGGGAGCCTCTGCCTGGCCACGCCCCCAGGGCCCCCAGTAACACCAGTAACACCAGCAAGGCCCAGCCTGTGAACGCCTTTATTGCTGAGGGGGCCGGGGGTCCTGGGGTCCCTGGGGTCACAGCATTTTCCTCATCAGCTCCTCGGCTTCCAGAACGTTCTGCAGCTCCGACTCCAGCTGGGCCAGCTGGGGAGGTGGGGGACAGGGCTGGGACCCTCCTCAAATACACAGAGATCCCCAGAAAACACAGAGAGCCCCCAAAATACAGAGACTCCCCAAAAACAGAGACCCCTCAAATACACAGAGAGCCCCCAGAAAACACACGAAGAGCCCCCAAAATACAGAGACTCCCCCAAAAACAGAGACCCACCCAAAAACAGAGACCCCCAAAACACGAGGCCCCCAAAACACATAGAGACCCCCAAAATACACAGAGACCTCCCAAAACACACAAGAGACCCCCAAAACAGAGTCCCCCAAAATACAGAGAGACCTCTCAAAATACACAGAGACCCCCAAAAGCAGAGATCCCCCAAAACAAACAGAGACCCCCAAAACACACAGAGATCCCCAAAAACACAGACCCCCCAGGCCCTCCCAACCCCCTGAATCCCCTCCCAAGGCCCCCCCAACCTCCACACCCCCCAGAACCCCCAAACCCCTGCAGAGCCCCCTGCCCTCCGTCCCCCCACCTTGGCAGCGTCCGCCTCCTGCACGTGGGGGGGCACCTTGTGGGGGTACCCCGGGCCCCCCCTGCGCTCCCGGAGCCTCCCCAGCGCCTTCTGCAGCTCCTCCCGCCGCCCCCCCAGCCGGGACAGCTCCCTGGGGGTCCACGATGCCTGGGGGCCCCAAATGTGTTAGAATCGGTGGGTGACGTCATACAGGGGGGCGATGACGTCATACAGGGGGCGATGACGTCACACGCGGGGGGGGTTAAGGGGGTGACGTCACCTTGAGCAGCAGGTGGGCGGAGCAGCGGTCGTTGGCCACGCCCACAGCGCAGCCCTGGGGTCTCGCCCCCAGCACCCGCACGGCCCCCACCCCCAGGGCTCGGAGCAGCCCCGCAGCCGCCGTGCCCGGGACCCCACGAGGGGTCAGGGACCTGCAGGAAACCTGGGGGCAAGGGGGGTCAGGGGGTCAGGGGAGGGACCCTCACCCCAACACCCCCAGCAGCGCTTTGGGGGGGGTCAGGGGGAGGGACCCCACCCCAACAACCCCAGCAGCGCTTTGGGGGTCCAGGGGAGGACCCCCACCCCAACACCCCCAGCAGCGCTTTGGGGGGTCCAGGGGGGCAGGGGAGGGACCCCCATCCCAACACCCCCAGCAGCGCTTTGGGGGGTCCAGGGGGAGGGACCCCCACCCAACACCCCCAGCAGCGCTTGAGGGGGCCAGGGGCGCTCGTGACTCCCAGGGACCCCAACAGCAGCCGGGACCCCCAGACCCTCCACCTTGACCCCACCCTGCACCAAAACAACCCCTAGAGCCCCATCAGGACCCCCCAAACCCCGTTTAGGACACCCTGGGACTCCCACAATCCCCTTAAAGCCCCCTAGGAGCCTCTTTAGCCCCCTGGGACCCCAACCCCCTCTAGCCCCCTAGATGCCCAAACCCCCTGACACCCAAATCCCCTTTAAGCCTCCTGGGACACCCCAAGCCCCGAAGCCCCTCTAGGACCCCTAAAGCCCTCAAGCTCCCTAGGAGCCCCTCTAAGCCCCAGGGCCCCCAGAACCCTCTAAGCCCCTGGGAGCCTTGAAGCCCCCAGGACCCCCAGAACCCCTCTAGCCCCCGAGCCCCTGAAGCCCCCCCGGGCCGTACAGGGGGGTCTCTGGCGGGTGAGCCCGTGGGCTGCCCGGAGGCTCCTCAGGGTCCTCACGACCCCCAGCACGAACTCCATGGTGGTCTCGGCCTCCTCGTCCTGCCAACAGAACTGGGGGCACGGGGGGTCATGGGACCCCCAAACCCACAGAGACCCCCGAAACCCACAGGGACCCCCCCAAACCCACAGGGACCCCCCCAAACCCACAGGGACCCCCGAGCCCACAGGGACCCCCGAACCCACAGGGACCCCCAAACCCACAGAGACCCCCAAACCCACAGGGACCTCCGAACCCACAGGGACTCCCCAAACCCACAGGGACCCCTAAACCCACATGGACTCCCCAAACCCACAGGGACCCCCTGAGCCCACAGGGACCCACTGAGCCCCCAGGACCCCCTCAAATTCCCCCAGACCTCCCAGGACCGCCCCCTCCCCAAATTCCCCCGTAGACCCCTCAAATCTCCCTCAACCCCCTCTCATCCCACACCCCCCAGACCTCCCAAGACCCCTCCAGTGCCACCAAACCCCTCAACCCCCCCAAAATCCCCCTTTAAGCCCCTCAAGCCCCCAGCAGCGGGCCCCCACCTCGGTGGTCTCGGGGAAGGGCGAGGCAGATGCTGGGGCGTGGGGTCCCTGGGGAGCCTCTGCCACAGCTCGCGCTCAGGAAGGGCATGAAGGGGGCCAGGAGCCGCAGCCCCCGTCCAGGCAGGCCAGCAGCGTGTCCCTCACGGCCTCCACGTCACCTGGGTAGCCATCATCGTCATCACCATCGTCATCCTCGCCCCCAAAACCCCCTGGGACCCCCAAAACCCCCCAAAACCCCCCCAGAGCCCCCCGTCCAGGCAGGCCAGCAGCGTGTCCTCACGGCCTCCACGCCACCTGGGTGCCCTCATCATCGTCACCATCTGCTCAAGGGACCCCTAGAAATCCCCTGGGACCCTCCAAAACGCCCTCAAAACCCCACGCCAGAGCCTCCCTCTGTCCAGGCAGGTCCAGCGGCGTGTCCCTCACGGCCTCCACGTCACCTGGGTACCATCATCATCATCACCATCTGCTCAGGGACCCCAAAATCCCCTGGGACCCCCAAAACCCCCAAAACCCCCAGGAACCCCCCAGAACACCCCAAAAACCACCCAGAGCCCCAAAACCCATCCAGGAAACAGGCAACCCCAAAAATCCCCGGGGCCCCCATCCAAGGGCAGGTGACCCCAGCCAGGCGGTCCCCTCTCCCGCTCTCCCTCCCTCTCCCCTCTCCCCTCTCACCTTTCTCCTCCTCCTCCTCCTCCTCCTCCCCCCCGTCCTGGGGGTCTCCTTCGCCCTCAGGGGGGGCCCCCCCGGACTCTGCGGCTGCTGCTCGGGCCAGGGTGGGCTTGACACACTCCTGGGGGCAGGGGGTCAGGGACCCCAGAGACCCCCAAAACACCCCCAATAACCCCAAAAATCCCTTCACACACTCCTGGGGGGGCAGGGGGGGGCAGGGACCCCCAGAGACCCCCAAAACACCCCCAGAGACCCCCCAATAACCCCCAGAGACCCCCAAAAATCCCTTCACACCCTCCTGGGGCAGGGGCCAGGACCCCAGAGACCCCCAAATCTCCCCAGAGAACCCCCAAAACCTCAGAGACCCCTAAACACCCCCAGAGACCCCCAATAACCCCCAAAATCCCCCCAAAAATCCTGTCACACACTCCTGGGGAGAAGGGACCCCCAAACTCCCCTAGGACCCCCAGACCACCAGGACACCCCAGAGCGCCCCAGGACCCCCAAAGCCCCCAAGCCCCTCGTACCAGGTAGACATCACACAGCTCGTACACCCAGAACCCCAAACCCCCCAAAGCCCCCAAAGCCCCCAGAGCCCCCAGGACCCCCAAGCCCCCAGGATCCCCAGAGCCCCCAAGCCCCCAAGCCCCCCATACCAGGTAGACATCACACAGCTCGTACACCCAGAACCCCCAAACCCCCAAGCCCCCAGGACCCCCAGAGCCCCCAAGCCCCCAGGACCCCGTACCAGATACACGTCGCACAGCTCGTACACCCAGACCCCCAGAGCCCCCGAGAGCCCCCCAGGACCCCCAAAGCCCCCAGGACTCCCCCAAAGCCCCCAGGACCCCGTACCAGATACACGTCGCACAGCTCGTGACACCCAGACCCCCAAAGCCCCCAAGCCCCCAGGACCCCCAAAGCCCCCCAAGCCCCCCGTACCAGATACATCACACAGCTCAGTACACCAGACCCCCAAAGCCCCCTAAGCCCCCAGGACCCCCTGAAGCCCCCAAAGCCCCCATACCAGATACACGTCACACAGCTCGCACACCCAGAACCCCTAAACCCCCAAAGCCCCCAGGACCCCCAGGACCCCCAAGCCCCCAGGACCCCCGTACCAGATACACGTCACACAGCTCGTACACCCAGAAGGAGTGCACGGCCGTGGTGGCCCCGGGGAAGTCGAAGCCCCCCAGGGCGGCCCCCACGGCCCCCACGGCCCTGCTGAGGCGGCTGCGGATCCAGCGCTCGGGGACCCCCCAAAACCCACGGCCCTGGGAGGCACAGGGGAGGTTAAAAGGGTCAGGGTGGGATTTTGAGGAGGTCTCTCTCAGCCCCCACGGCCCTGCTGAGGGGGTTGAGAATTCTTAAGCCCCTCGGACACCCCAAACCCCTTTAAGTCCCTGGGACCCCTGAGACTTCTGGTGGGTGGAAATGGGGGGAGGAGATTTTGGGGGTCCCAGGGACATTTTGGGGGGAGTCAGGGGATCACATTGGGGGTTGGAGGGGGGGTCTAGCAGGTTCTCAGGAGAGGTTTGGGGGTTCTGGGGCGGTCGGTAGGGGTCTTAGAGGGATCTTGGGGGTCTCTGTGGATTAGGAGGGTCTCAGGGGGTACCTTGGGGTCAGGGGGTCTCAGGAGGTCTCGGGGGTACCTTGGAGTCGGGGTCGGTACCCCCCAGCGCCCTGAGCACGAACCGGGCCCCGTTCCAGACCTTGTTACAGAAGTGCCGGTACCCCAAAACCCGCCCCACGTCCAGGTTGATGTCCCGGCCTGGGGGGGCACAGGGGGTCAGGGGGTCAGAGGGGACCCCAAAACCCGCCCCACGTCCAGGTTGATGTCCCGGCCTGGGGGGGCACAGGGGTCAGGGGGCACAGGGGGTCAGGGGGACCCCAAAACCCGCCCCACGTCCAGGTTGATGTCCCGGCCTGGGGGGCACAGGGGGTCAGGGGGTCAGGGGACCTCAAACCCGCCCCACGTCCAGGTTGATGTCCCGGCCTGGGGGCACAGGAGGGTCAGGGGCGTCAGGGGACCCAAACCCGCCCCACATCCAGGTTGATGTCCCGGCCTGGGGGCACAGGGGGTCAGGGGGCACAGGGGAGACCCCAAAACCCGCCCCACATCCAGGTTGATGTCCCGGCCTGGGGGCACAGGGAGGTCAGGGGATCAGAGGGGACCCCAAAACCCGCCCCACGTCCAGGTTGACGTGTAGGCACACAGGGGGTGATTTGGGGATGTTTTTGGGGTTGATTTGGGGGGTTTTGGGTACCCTGGGCAGTGTAGGCACACAGAGCAAACCGCAGGGGTGTTTTTGGGGTGGATCTGGGGTGGATTTGGGGTGATTTGGGGTGATTTTGGGGTGATTTAGATACCCTGGGCAGTGTAGGCACACAGAGCAAACCGCAGGGGTGTTTTTGGGGTGGATTTGGGTTGATTTAAGGTGATTTTTGGGGTGATTTAGATACCCTGAGCAGTGTAGGCACACAGAGCAAACCGCAGGGGTGATTTAAGGTGTTTTTGGGGTGATTTTGGGGTGATTTTGGGGTGATTTAGATACCCTGGGCAGTGTAGGCACACAGAGCAAACCGCAGGGGTGATTTAGGGTGTTTTTGGGGTGATTTTGGGGTGATTTAAGGTGATTTTGGGGTGATTTAGATACCCTGGGCAGTGTAGGCACACAGAGCAAACCGCAGGGGTGATTTGGGGGTGTTTTTAGGGTGTTTTTGGGGTGATTTTGGGGTGATTTAGTACCCTGGGCAGTGTAGGCACACAGAGCAAACCGCAGCGCGTCCGTCCCGCACTCGGGGATCCCCTCGGGGAAGTCTCTTTTCTGGGGGGCGCAGGAGAGGGGGGTCACCTCGTGGGGGTAAATGACCCCCAGGACCCCCTGAGCCCTGGCCCCACCTGCCCCTCCCTGGCCCCACCTGCCCCTCCCTGGCGCGTTCCAGCTCCGCAGGGTCCAGGTTGCTGCTCTCCAGCTGCTCGTGCAGCTCCTGGGGGGGCACACAGAGGGTTAGGGGGGGACCCCACACCCCAAAACACAGCCCAGGACCCCCAAAACCCTCGTCAGGACACCCCAAACCATCCCAGGATACCCAAACCCATCCCAGGATACTCAAAACCCTCCCCAGGACACCCCAGAACAACCCAAACCCACCCCAGGATACCCAAACCCACCTCAGGATACCCGAAACCCTCCCCAGGACCCCCAAAACCCTACCCAGGATACCCAAACCCTCCCCAGGATACCCAAAACCCTCCCCAGGACACCCCAAACCCATCCCATGATACCCAAAACCCTCCCCAGGACCCCCAAAACCCATCCCAGGATACCCAAACCCATCACAGGATACCCAAAACCCACCCCAGGACCCCCAAAACCCTCGTCAGGACCCCCAAAACCCTCCCCAGGATACCCAAACCCACCTCAGGATACCCAAACCCACTCCAAGACACCCAAAACCCTCCCCAGGACACCCCAGGACACCCCAGGACACCCCAAACCCATCCCAGGACACCCAAAACCCATCCCAGGACCCCCAAACCCACGTTCCCCACGGATTTGGGGGTTCAGGGGGTCCCAGGGGGGGTTTGGGGGTCGTTTTTGGGGTCCCACCTGCAGGGACACACCCCTGATGACGTCCAGGGGGTCGATGACGTTCCCCAGGGATCTGGCGGGGGTTGGGGATTCAGGGGTCCCAGGGGGTTCAGGGGTCCCAGGGAAGGTTCAGGGGGTTTGGGGGTGGATCATTTTTGGGGTCCCACCTGCAGGGACACGCCCTGATGACGTCCAGGGGGTCGATGGCGTTCCCCAGGGATTTGGGGGGTTGGGGATTCAGGGGTTCAGGGGGTTCAGGGGTCCCAGGGGTTCAGGGGTTCAGGGGTTTCAGGGGATCGTTTTTGGGGTCCCACCTGCAGGGACACGCCCTTGATGACGTCCAGGGGTCGATGGCGTTCCCCAGGGATTTGCTCATTTTCCGTCCGTGGGCGTCGCGGACGATGGCGTGGAGGTAAACCTGGGGGCAAAGGGGTCAGGGGGGCTAGGGGTCTCAGGGGGTCAGGGGATTTGGGGGTCTCAGGGGCTTTGGGGTCCCACCTCTCGGAAGGGGAGCCGCCCTGTCAGGCCAGCCCCAGCATCACCACTGGGGTTTGGGGGTCAGGGGGTCTCAGGGGGTCAGGGGATTTGGGGGTCTCAGGGGTTTGGGGTCCCACCTCTCGGAAGGGGAGCCTCCCTGTCAGGGCCAGCCCCAGCATCACCATCCGGGCCACCCAGAAGAAGAGGATGTCGTGTCCCGTCTCCAGCAGAGAGCCCGGGTAGAACAGCTCCAGGTCGGGGGTCTGGGGGTCCCCAAAACTCACACAGGGACCCCCAAACTGCCCTGAACCCCCAGGACCCCCAACCACCCAGAGACCCCCAGACCCCCAAACCCCCAGTGGGACCCCCAAACACCCCCACCCCCAGGGCAGAACAGCTCCAGATCGGGGGTCTGGGGGGCCCCAAAACTCAGACAAGGACCCCAAACCCCCCACACCGCCCCCAACCCCAATTCCCCTCCCAGCCCCCCAGAGCCCCTCACAGGGTCGGGCCAGCCGAAGATGGAGAAGGGGAAGAGGCCGGAGGAGAACCAGGTGTCCAGCACGTCCTCGTCTGAAAGGGGACACACCAGTGACCACCAGTTCCCTCCCAGTCCCTCCCAGTCCCTCCCAGTCCCTCCAGTCCCCCCCAGTCCCTCCCAGTCTCCCCAGTTCCCTCCCAGTCCCCCCCAGTCCCTCCCAGTCCCTCCAGTCCCTCCCAGTCCCTCCCAGTCCCCCCAGTTCCCACCTTGTCTCAGGGTCACTTTCTCGGGGGGGACCCCAAAAGCTGCGGCCGCTTTGGCTCGAGCCTCGTCCTCCGTCCGGCCACTGACCCAGTACTGACCATCCTCGTCCTGAAACCACCCCAAATCACCCCAAAATCAACCAAATCACCCCAAAATAACCCCCACTGACCCAGTACTGACCATCCTCGTCCTGAAACCACCCCAAATCACCCCAAAATCAACCAAATCATCCCAAAATAACCCCCACTCACCCAGTACTGACCATCCTCGTCCTGAAACCACCCCAAATCACCCCAAAATCAACCAAATCACCCCAAAATCACCTCAAATCACCCCAAAATCAACCCAAAATAACCCCAAAATAACCCCCACTCACCCAGTACTGACCATCCTCGTCCTCGGAACCCCAAATCACCCCAAAATCACTCAAATCACCCCAAAATCACCTCAAATCACCCCAAAATCAACCCAAAATCAACCCAAAATCAACACAAAATCACACCCACTCACCCAGTACTGACCATCCTCATCCTGAAACCACCCCAAATCACCCCAAAATCAACCAAATCATCCCAAAATAACCCCAAAATAACCCCCACTCACCCAAAACTGACCATCCTCGTCCTGAAACCACCCCAAAATCATCCAAAATCACCCCAAACCCCACTCACCCAGAACTAACCATCCTCATCCCGAAATCACCCCAAATCACCCCAAAATCAACCCAAAATAACCCCAATATCACCTCAAATAACCCACAAACCACCCCAAATCACCCCAAAATCACCCCCACTGACCCAGAACTGCCCATGCTCGTCCTGGGACCCCCCAGACTCCCCCCGTGGCTCCCCCAAAACAACACAGCACCCCCCCAGCATCCCCCAGCCCCTCCAGGACCCCCAAGCCCCCCCAGCCCACCTCACCCCTGACCTGCCCGGGGGCACTTTGGAGTCGTCGATGGTGACGAAGTAGGCGGGGATTCGGTGCCCCACCAGAGCTGCCGGGAGATGCACCCAGTCCTGGGGGGCACAGGGGTTGGGGGGGTGCTGGGGGCTCCCCTGGGGCTTGGGGGCTCCTCTGGGGCTTTGGGGGCACCCTGGGTTGGGAGGACATGGCAGGAGGACAGGGGGATTCGGTGCCCCCACCAGAGCTGATGGAGGATGCACCAGTCCCCTGGGGGCACAGGGGTTGGGGGCTTTGGGGGCCCTGGGGGCTCCTGGGGATTGGGGGCTCCTGGGGATTGGGGAGCTCTGGGGGCTCCTGGGAGGGGGAGGAAGAGGGAACTGAGGGGGAGAGGAAAGGGGGGTTTGGGGTCACCCCATGGGAGGGGCGGGGTCGGGTCCTGTGGGGCTGGGGCTGGGTGGGGTGACACCCTGGGGGTCCAGGGGTCAGGGGGTCCCAGGGGGTCCTGGGTCGAGGTCAGGGGGTCCTGGGGAGTCAGAGGGTCCGGGGGTCAGGGGTCCCTGGGTCCCACCTGATGTTGTCCATCCAGGTGTACCAGGTGCGGGCGTGGCCCGGGGGGTGCAGCCTCAGGTCCCCCCTGCGCACGGCGGCGGCTGCGGCCCCGCCCAGGGCCTGGCACTTCACGAACCACTGAGGCACGGCCAGCGGCTCCAGGACATCCTTGGAACGGCTGGGGGGAGGGAAATGTCATTTATTGTCACCTGGTGTCACCCAGTGTCACCCACTGTCACCCACTGACCCCCCCATCCCAGCCCCGCCCAGGGCCTGGCACCACTGAGGCACTGCCAGCGGCTCCAGGACATCCTTGGAACGGCTGGGGGGAGGGAAATGTCATTTATTGTCACCTGGTGTCACCTCAGTGTCACCCACTGTCACCCAGTGTCACCCACTGACCCCCATCCCAACCCCGCCCAGGGCCTGGCACTTCACGAACCACTGAGGGACCGCCAGGGGTTCCAGGACATCCTTGGAACGGCTGGGGGGGGGGGAAATGTCATTTATTGTCACCTGGTGTCAACCCAGTGTCACCCACTGACGCCCCCCATCCCAACCCCGCCCAGGGCCTGGCACTTCACGAACCACTGAGGCACGGCCAGCAGCTCCAGGACATCCTTGGAACGGCTGGGGGGATGGAAATGTCACCCAGTGCCACCCAGAGTCACCCAGTGCCACCCAGTGTCACTCACCGACCCCCCACTGCCCCCGCCAGTGCCACCCACGGCCACCCCAAGGGACCCCCACCTGCAGATGGGCACCACCCCGGGGGTCTCTGTGACCACCCCAGGGGTCTCTGTGACCACCCTGGGGGTCTCAGTGCCCCCCCAGCCCCCCACCTGCAGATGGGCACCACCTGGGGTCTCTGTGACCCCCTGGGCCCCCCACCTGCGACATGGGGTCTGACCACCCTGGGGTCTCTGTGCCCCCCCAGCCCCCCACCTGCAGATGGGCACCACCATGGGGTTCTCGGTGACCCCCCGGAACAGCCCCCGCTCCTTCAGCGTCTCCAGCAGCGCCGTGCGGGCCTTGAACCGGGGCATGCCCTGGGGAGAGACCCCAAAATACCCTGAAATAACCCCAAAATAACCTCCAATCCTTGAACCGGGGCATGCCCTGGGGAGAGACCCCAAAATACCCTGAAATAACCCCAAAATAACCTCCAATCCTTGAACCGGGGCATGCCCTGGGGAGAGACCCCAAAATACCCTGAAATAACCCCAAAATAACTCCAAAATAACCCCAAAATAACCTCCAATCCTTGAACCGGGGCATGCCCTGGGGAGAGACCCCAAAATACCCTAAAATAACCACAAAATAACCCCAAAATAACCCCAAAATAACCTCCAATCCTTGAACCAGGCCATGCCCTGGGGAGAGACCCCAAAATACCCTGAAATAACCACAAAATAACCCCAAAATAACCTCCACTCCTTGAACCGGGGCATGCCCTGGGAGAGACCCCAAAATAACCTAAAATAACCCCAAAATAACCCCAAAATAACTCCAAAATAACCTCCAATCCTTGAACCAGGCCATGCCCTGGGGAGAGACCCCAAAATAACCTAAAATAACCACAAAATAACCCCCAAAATCACCCTCCCCAAACCCCAAGAGAAGGGAAGGTCTCAAAGGGGGGGTCTCTCACCCTAAGAGAGGTTTATGGAGGGGGTCTCTCCTCAAATGGGGGGGGCACAGGGGGTCTGTCACCCAAGGGGGGTCTCAGGGGTGTCTCAGGGGGTCTCAGGGGGGGTCTCTCTCACCTCGAAGGGGGGGGGCACCCCGCACATGCGCCCGTCCTCGGCGATGACGGGGTCCCCGCGCAGCCCCCAGCGCTGCCCCACCTCGAAATCCACGGGGTCGTGGCAGGGGGTGATCTTCACGGCCCCTGGGGGGAGGGGGGCAGGGACACGCCCACTCACGATGGACACGCCCACTGGGACACGCCCACCCCCACTGACCCGTCCCCCCCTTCCAAACACCCCCAGGGTCAGGTGAGACCCCCCCACAATCACCCAGGCCACGCCCCCTGGCCACACCCTCATCCAGACCACGCCCTCAGCCAAACTCCACCCCCCAGCAAGAAAACACAACCCCACATTTCAGCCACACCCCTTCAAGCCACACCCACTTAGCCCCACCCCAACCACACCCATCTAAGCCACACCCTCTTTAAGCCATACCCCAAACAACCACACCCCTCCAGGCCACACCCACTTGGTCCCACCCCAAAGAACCACACCCATCTAAACCACACCCCCTTTAAGCCACACCCACTTAACCCCACCCCAAACCATCACACCCATCCAAGTCACACCCACTTTAAGCCACACCCACTTAGCCCCACCCCAAACATTACCACGCCCCCATAAACCACGCCCCAAGGAACCACGCCCTGCAAAGCCACACCCCATTCCCAGCCACACCCACTTTAAACCACACCCATTTTCACCCAAGCCCTGCCTCCAGCAGGCCCCTCCCCCTCACCGGTGCCGAACTGGGGGTCCACGAAGGGGTCGTGCAGCACCGGCAGCCGCCGCCCCGTCAGGGGGTGCAGGACGTGACGGCCACGCAGGTGCTGGGGGGGCGGGGCAGTCTGGACCACACCCACTTAGGGAGGCCACACCCACTCCCAGAGACCACACCCACTCACAGGGACCACACCCACTCACAGAGACCACACCCACTCATACAGGCCACACCCACTCACTGACACCACACCCAGAGACCACACCCACTCATACAGGCCACACCCACTCAGAGACCACCCCTACCCACAGACCCCCCAAACCACACCCACCCCCACCCCAAAATAATCACACCCAACCAAGCCCCACCCCCACCCTGGGTGGGTTTAGAGCCCCCCCCTCACCTGGTACCGGGGGTCCTGGGGGTGCACAGACCCCCCTGGGGGTGCACAGATCCCTCTGGGGGGTTCAGAGCCCCCCCTGGGTGGGTTCAGAGCCCCCCCTCACCTGGTAGCGGGGGTCCTCGGGGTGCACAGACCCCCCTGGGTGGGTTCAGGCCCCCCCTGGGTGGGTTCAGGACCCCCCCTCACCTGGTAGCGGGGGTCCTCGGGGTGCACAGACCCCCTGGGTGGGTTCAGGCCCCCTGGGTGGGTTCAGGACCCCCTCACCTGGTAGCGGGGGTCCTCGGGGTGCACAGACCTCCCTGGGTGGGTTCAGGACCCCCCCTCACCTGGTAGCGGGGGTCCTCGGGGTGCACAGACCCCCCTGGGGGGGTTCAGAGTTCCCCCTGGGTGGGTTCAGAGCCCCCCCCTCACCTGGTAGCGGGGGTCCTGGGGGTGCATAGACCCCCTGGGTGGGTTCAGGCCCCCCCCTGGGTGGGTTCAGGACCCCCCCTCACCTGGTAGCGGGGGTCCTGGGGGTGCACAGACCCCCCTGGGTGGGTTCAGGCCCCCCCCTGGGTGGGTTCAGGACCCCCCCTCACCTGGTAGCGGGGGTCCTGGGGGTGCACAGACCCCCTGGGGTGCCAGATCCCTCTGGGGGTTCAGAGTTCCCCCTGGGTGGGTTCAGAGCCCCCTCACCTGGTAGCGGGGTCCTCGGGTGCACAGACCCCCTGGGTGGGTTTAGAGCCCCCCCCTCACCTGGTAGCGGGGGTCCTCGGGGTGCACAGACCCCCCTGGGTGGGTTTAGAGCCCCCCCCTCACCTGGTAGCGGGGTCCTGCGGGGGCGGCCACGGCCGACGCCCCCAGCATGCGTCTCCAGCCGCGTCGTGGCCACTGCACCACCTCGGGCTCCTCCCCTCCCCTGGGGTGCAAATTTGGGGGTCACCACAGGCACACCCCCAGGTCAGGAGAGACCCCCAGAGAGAGAGCCCCCAGACCCCCCTTCAGCCTCCACAGAACTCCCCCCCAGAGAGACCCCTGAGCTCCTCAGGACCACCTCTCTCCCCAGAGCCCTCCAGGGGTCCCTGAGCTCCCTTGAGCTCCCTGAGCCCCCATTCCCAGCCCTCCAGGGTCCCTGAGCCCCCCATTACCAGCCCCCTCCAGGGGTCCCTGAGCCCCCGAGCCCCTGAGCCCCCCATTCCCAGCCCCCTCCAGGGGTCCCTGAGCCCCCCATTACCAGCCCCCTCCAGGGGTCCCTGAGCCCCCATTCCCAGCCCCCTCCAGGGGGTCCCTGAGCCCCATTACTCAGCCCCTCCAGGGGTCCCTGAGCCTCGAGCCCCCCATTACCAGCCCCTCCAGGGGTCCCTGAGCCTCCTGAGCCCCCCATTACCAGCCCTCCAGGGAGTCCCTCAAGCCCCTCTGAGCCCAGCCCCCATTCCCACAGCCCCTCCAGGGTCCCTGAGCCTGACCTCCCTGAGCCCCCCCATTCCCAGCCCCCTCCAGGGGGTCCCTGAGCCCCCCCCCATTACCAGCCCCCTCCAGGGGGTAGGCGAAGGCCACCAGGACCCCAAACTCGACGGGCTCGTCGTAGCCCGGGACCCTCAGCAGGGTGCGGCCCCCCAGCTCCTTCTTCTCCACCTGGGGGGACACAGAGACCCCCAGTGACCCCCCCAGGGACCCTCAGACCCCAAAAATCCCACCCAGGGACCCTCAGACCCCAAAAATCCCCCCCGGGGACCCTCAGAGACCCCAAAAATCCCACCCAGCTCCTTCTTTTTCGCACGGGGCAGGGAAAGGCCCCCAGTGACCCCCCCAGGGACCCTCAGGGAGCTCAGGGGGGGCTCAGCGGGCTCAGGGATGTTTGGGGGGGCTCAGGGGGGTCAGGAGGGGTTCAGGTGAATTTGGGGGGGTCTCAGGGGTGTCTCCATACCTCAATATCAGAGATGGCCGAGCGCAGGGAGCAGCTCCAGTGCACGATGCGGGGGCTCAGGGGGCTCAGGGGGCTCAGGGATGTTTGAGAGGGTTCAAGGGGTTCAGGTGGATTTGGGGGCTCTGGGGAGCTGTGGGTACCTCAATATCTGAGATAGCAGAGCGCAGGGAGCAGCTCCAGTGCACGTGCGCGGGGCTCAGGGGGTCAGGGATGTTTGGGGGCCTAGGCCTAGGGATGCTTGGGGGCTCAGGGGGTTCAGGTGGATTTGGGGGTCTCTGGGGGTCTCAGGGGTGTCCCACATACTCATATCAGAGATGGCCGAGCGCAGGAGCAGCTCCAGTGCACGATGGGGCCGGGGCTCAGGGATGCTTGGGGGCCAGGGCTCAGGGGCCCAGGTGGATTTTGGGGGTTCAGGGGTTTTTGGGGGTTCAGATTTCTGAGGTCAGGGATTTTTGGGGGTTCAGGGACTTTGGGGGCTCAGGGGGTTCTAGGGGTTCAGGGGATTTTGGGGGTTCAGGGATTTCTGGGGGTTCAGGTGGATTTGGGGGGTTCAGGGGATTTTGGGGGTTCAGGTACTTCAATATCAGAGATGGGGCTCAGGGGTCTAGTGTGGATGTTTTGGGGGCTCAGGGGGCTTTGGGGGTTCAGTGGATTTTGGGGGTTCAGGTGGATTTGGGGGGTCCAGGGGTCCCAGGGGCTCAGATTACCTCGATATCAGAGATAGCAGAGCGCAGGAGCAGCTCCAGTGCACGATGCGGGGGCTCAGGGGATCTCAGGGGGTCAGGGATGTTTGGGGAGCTCAGGGGCTTAGGGGGTTCAGGTGGATTTGGGGGTTCAGGTGGATTTGGGGGTTCAGGTGGATTTTGGGGGTCCCAGGGGCTGGATTACCTCGATATCAGAGATGGCCGAGCGCAGGAGCAGCTCCAGTGCACGATGTGGGGGCTCAGGATGTTTGGGGGCTCAGGGGTCGGGGGGGCTCAGGGGGTTCAGGTGGATTTGGGGGTCCCAGGGGTCTCCAGGGTCTCAGATTACCTCGATATCAGAGATGGCCGAGCGCAGGAGCAGCTCCAGTGCACGATGCGGGGACTCAGGGGCTCAGGAGTCAGGATGTTTGGGGAGTTCAGGGCTCAGGGGGGTTCAGATGGATTTGGGGGTCCTAGGGGTCCCAGGGGCTGTAGGTACCTCAATATCAGAGATGGCCGAGCACAGGAGCAGCTCCAGTGCACGATGCGGGGGCTCAGGGGCTCAGGGGCCTCAGGGGCCTAGGGGCTCAGGAGGGGTTCAGGTGGATTTGGGGGTCCCAGGGGTCCCAGGGGCTCAGATTACCTCGATGTCAGAGATAGCAGAGCGCAGGAGCAGCTCCAGTGCACGATGCGGGGGCTCAGGGGCTCAGGGGTCAGATGTTTGGGGGCCAGGGGGTCAGGGGGTTCAGGGGGTTCAGGTGGATTTGGGGGCTCTGGGGGCTGTGGGTACCTCGATGTCAGAGATGGTCGAGCGCAGGGAGCAGCTCCAGTGCACGATCGAGGCTCAGGGGCTCCAGGGGCTCAGGGGCTCAGGGGGTCAGGGATGTTTGGGGGCCTAGGGGCTCAGGGATGTTTGGGGGTTCAAGGGGGTTCAGGTGGATTTGGGGGCTCTGGGGGGCTGTGGGTACCTCAATATCAGAGATGGCCGAGCGCAGGAGCAGCTCCAGTGCACGATGCGGGGGCTCAGGGGCTCAGGGGGCTCAGGGGGTTCAGGGGTCAGGGGGTTCAGGGGTCAGGGGGTTCAGGTGGATTTGGGGGTCCCAGGGGTCCCAGGGGCTCAGATTACCTCGATGTCAGAGATAGCAGAGCGCAGGAGCAGCTCCAGTGCACGATGCGGGGGCCTCAGGGGGCTCAGGGGGTCAGGGATGTTTGGGGGCCTAGGGGGTCAGGGGGGCTCAGGGGGTTCAGATGGATTTGGGGGTCCTAGGGGCCTGTAGATTACCTCGATATCAGAGATGGCCGAGCGCAGGAGCAGCTCCAGTGCACGATGCGGGGCTCAGGGGGCTCAGGGGGTCAGGGGCTCAGGGATGTTTGGGGGTCTCAGGGGGTTCAGGTGGATTTGGGGGTCCCAGGGGTGTCTCCATACCTCGATGTCAGAGATAGCCGAGCGCAGGGAGCAGCTCCAGTGCACGCATGCGGCGGCTGCGATAGATGAGCCCCCCTCGTGCAGCCGCATCGAAGGCCTCGACCACGGCCCTGCTCATTTTCTGGGGGTTCAGGGGGTCAGGGGCTCAGGGGCTCAGGGACCCCCGGCCCAGCAGCCCCCCACTCACGGGTCCATGGTGAAACAGGCCCGGCTCCAGTCCATGGAGGCTCCCGAGAGCGCCGCAGCTGCTCGTAGATGCGATCGCCTTCCTGGGGAGAGGGGGGTCAGGGGGCAATTTGGGGGTGGCAGGGGTGGGGGGACAACTGGGGGACAGCTGGGGGCTGGGGGAAAAATCGGGGGAAATTGGGGAGGAAATTGGGGTGGGGGTGAAGGTGTGGGGGCAATGGGGGCTGAGGGGGAGATTGGGGGTAGGGGGCAATTGAGGGGCAAATGGGGGTGCAGTTGTGGGGCTGGGGGAGATCATGGGGGTAAGGGGTGGGGAGGCAACTGGGGAGGGTTGGAAGGGCAGCTGGGGGAGGTGAGGGCAAGGGGGCAAGTGAGGAGGGTTTATGGGGTGGGGAGGTGAGGGGTGGGGGGCAATAAGGGAGGAGAGAGTTAGGTGCCATGGGTGGGGTTGGGGGTCTCAGGGGGCTCATGGGGTCTCTTACTCGTCCTTCCACTGCCACACCTCCTCAGGAGCTAAACGGTGAGGGGGTCATGGGGCAGGCTTGGGGGCCTCAGGGCAGGTTTGGGGGTCTCAGGGCAGGTTTGGGGGTCTCAGGGCAGGTTTGGGGTGCCATGGGGGTCTCAGGGGGTCACTCACTCGTCCTTCCACTGCCACACCTCCCTCAGGGAGCCGTGCTGGGTGAGGGAGTTATGGAGGGTTATGGGGCAGATTTGGGGGCTCAGGGAGGTTTGGGGGTCTCAGGGGGTTTGGGGTCACTCACTGTCCTTCACTGCCACACCTCCCTCAGGGAGCTGAGCTGGGTCAGGGGGCCATGGGGTAGGTCTGGGGGGCTCAGGGGAGGTTTGGGGTCTCAGGGGAGGTTTGGGGGTCTCAGGGGGGGTTTTTGGGGTCACTCACTCGTCCTTCCACTGCCACACCTCCCTCAGGAAGCCGTGCTGGATGAGGGGGTTATGGGGGGCTCAGGGCAGGTTTGGGGTCTCAGGGCAGGTTTGGGGGTCTCAGGCAGGTTTGGGGGCTCAGGGCAGGTTTGGGGGTCTCAGGGCAGGTTTGGGGGCCTCAGGGGGTCTCAGGGGGGCTCAGGGGGTCTCTTACTCATCCTTCCACTGCCACACCTCCCTCAGGGAGCTGTGCTGGGTGAGGAGGTCATGGGGCAGGTTTGGGGGGCTCAGGGCAGGTTTGGGGGTCTCAGGGCAGGTTTGGGGGTCTCAGGGCAGGTTTGGGGTGCCATGGGGGTCTCAGGGGGTCACTCACTCGTCCTTCCACTGCCACACCTCCCTCAGGAAGCCCTCCCGGCCCAGCTGGTGCCGGGTCAGGCCCCGGTTCCGCAGCAGCCGCCGCTCCACGACCACCTGGGTGGCGATGCCGGCGTGGTCACAGCCCGGGCACCACAGCGTGGTCTCCCCCCTCATCCTGTGCCTGCAACAACAACTGGGATCACTGGGAGCACTGGGAGCACAGCCCGGGCACCACAGCGTGGTCTCACCCCTCATCCTGTGCCTGCAACAACTGGGGGTCACTGGGGGCACTGGGAGCACTGGGAGGGGCACTGGGAGCACAGCCCGGGCACCACAGCGTGGTCTCACCCCTCATCCTGTGCCTGCAACAACAACTGGGGGTCACTGGGAGCACTGGGAGGCACTGGGAGAGGCACTGGGAGCACAGCCCGGGCACCACAGCGTGGTCTCACCCCTCATCCTGTGCCTGCAACAACAACTGGGATCACTGGGAGCACTGGGAGCACAGCCCGGGCACCACAGCGTGGTCTCACCCCTCATCCTGTGCCTGCAATGGGGATACTGGGAGCACTGGGGGCACTGGGGGCACAGCCCGGGCACCACAGCGTGGTCTCACCCCTCATCCTGTGCCTGCAACAACAACTGGGATCACTGGGAGCACTGGGGGCACAGCCCGGGCACCACAGCGTGGTCTCACCCCTCATCCTGTGCCTGGAATGGGGATACTGGGAGCACTGGGAGGGGCACTGGGAGCACTGGGGGCACAGCCCGGGCACCACAGCGTGGTCTCACCCCTCATCCTGTGCCTGCAATGGGGATACTGGGAGCACTGGGGGCACTGGGAGGGGCACTGGGAAGGGCACTCTGTGTCCTTGGGGATCCCAGGGGTCAGTTTGGGGTCCCAGGGGTCAGTTTGGGGTCAGTTTGGGGTCAGTTTGGGGTCAGTTTGAGTCACTCACCACCGGGCCAGCGTGTCCTGGATGGCCACGGTCAGGAGGGGGTTTGGGGGTCAGTTTGGGGGTCAGTTTGGGGGTCCCAGGGGTCAGTTTGGGGTCAGTTTGGGTCACTCACCACCGGGCCAGCGTGTCCTGGATGGCCACGGTCAGGAGGGGGTTTGGGGTCAGTTTGGGGTCAGTTTGGGGTCAGTTTGGGGGTCAGTTTGGGGTCCCAGGGGTCAGTTTGGGGGTCCCAGGGGTCAGTTTGGGGTCCCAGGGGTCAGTTTGGGGTCCCAGGGGTCACTCACCACCGGGCCAGCGTGTCCTGGATGGCCACGGTCAGGGGGGGTTTGGGGGTCAATGAGGGGTTTGGGGGTCAGTTGGGGGTCAGTTTGGGGTCTGGGGTCCTAGGGGTCAGTTTGGGGTCCTAGGGTCAGTTTGGGTCCCGGGGTCACTCACCATCGGGCCAGCGTGTCCTGGATGGCCACAGTCAGGGGGGGTTGGGGATCAGTTTGGGGTCAGTTTGGGGGTCAGTTTGGGGTCAGTTTAGTCTAGGGTCAGTTTGGGGTCAGTTTGGGGTCCCAGGGGTCAGTTTGGGTCACTCATCATCATTGGGCCAGCGTGTCCTGGATGGCCACGGTCAGGAGGGGGTTTGGGGGTCAATGGGGGGTTTGGGGGTCAGCTGGGGGTCAGTTTGGGGTCCTAGGGGTCAGTTTGAGGTCAGTTTGGGGTCACTTTGGGTCACTCAATTACGGCCAGCGTGTCCTGATGGCTACGGTCAGGGGGTGATTGGGGTCAGTTTGGGGTCAGTTTGGGGTCAGTTTGGGGTCAGTTTGGGGTCAGTTGGAGTGTTGGGGTCAGTTTGGGGTCACTTGGGGTCAGTTTGGGGTCAGTCTGAGGTCAGTTGGGGTCACTTGGGGTCAGTTTGGGGTCAGTTTGGGGTCAGTTTGGGGTCAGTTTGGGTCACTCACCACCGGGCCAGCGTGTCCTGGATGGCCACGGTCAGGAGGGGTTTGGGGTCAGTTTGGGGTCCTAGGGTCAGTTGGGGTCAGTTTGGGGTCAGCTTGGGGTCCCAGGGGTCAGTTTGGGGTCAGTTTGGGGTCAGTTTGGGGGTCAGTTTGGGGTCAGTTTGGGGTCCTAGGGTCAGTTTGGGGTCAGTCAGGGGTCAGTTTGGGGTCAGTCTGGGGTCAGTTGGGGTCAGTTTGGGGTCAGTTTGGGGGTCAGTTTGGGTCAGTTTGGGGTCAGTTTGGGGTCAGTTTGGGGTCAGTTTGGGGTCCGTAGGGGTCAGTTTGGGGTCAGTTTGGGGTCAGTTTGGGGTCAGTTTAGGGTCAGTTTGGGGTCAGTTTGGGGTCCCAGGGGTCAGTTTGGGGGTCCCAGGGGTCAGTTGGTCAGGGTCAGTTTGGGGTCAGTTTGGGGTCAGTTTGGGGGTCAGTTTGGGGTCAGTTTGGGGGTCAGTTTAGTCCCAGGGTCAGTTTGGGGTCAGTTTGGGGTCCTAGGGTCAGTTTGGGGTCCCAGGGTCACTACCACCGGGCCAGCGTGTCCTGGATGGCCACGGTCAGGGGTTTGAGGTCAGTTTGGGGTCAGTTTGGGGGTCCAGGGGTCAGTTTGGGGTCAGTTTGGGGTCAGTTGGGTCAGTTTGGGTCACTCACCACCGGGCCAGCGTGTCCTGGATGGCCACGGTCAGGAGGGGTTTGGGGTCAGTTTGGGGTCAGTTTGGGGTCAGTTTGGTCCCAGGGTCAGTTTGGGGTCAGTTTAGGCGCGTCAGTTTGGGGTCAGTTTGGGTCACCACCTGGGCCAGCGTGTCCTGATGGCCACGGTCAGGTTTGGGGGTCAGTTTAGGGTCAGTTTGGGGTCAGTTTGGGGTCAGTTTGGGGTCAGTTTGGGGTCAGTTTGGGGTCAGTTTGAGGGTCAGTTTGGGGTCAGTTTGGAGGTCCCAGGGGTCAGTTTGGGGTCAGTTTGGGGTCAGTTTGGGGTCAGTTTGGGGTCAGTTTGGGGGTCCCAGGGTCAGTTGGGTCCCAGGGTCAGTTGGGGTCCCAGGGGTCACTCACCACCGGGCCAGCGTGTCCTGGATGGCCACGGTCAGGGCGTGGCCCAAGTGCAGCGTCCCCGTCACGTTGGGGGGGGGGAGGCACATCACGAACTGCCCCCGGGGGTTGGGGGTCTGCAGGGACCTCTGGGGTACAGGGGTCAGAGACCCCAAACACTCCGGGCAGAGACTCTAACATCCCTGGAGTCCCCCAGACCCCCAAAGCCCCCCACTTCACCCCCAAATTCGGGCCTGAAGAACCCTTCCTCTCCCACCAGCTGTACCAGGACCCCCAGACCCCCCTGAGCCCCCAGGACCCCCACTCACCCCAAATTCGGGCCTGAAGAACCCCTCCTCTCCCACCAGCTGTACCAGGACCCCCTGAACCCCCCTGAGCCCCCCCACTCACCCCAAATTCGGGCCTGAAGAACCCTTCCCTCTCCCACCAGCTGTACCAGGCGGCCTCCACGCACTGGGGCTGTAACTCTCGGGCAGTGGGACCCCACATCTGGAAGGGGTGGGGGCACAGGGTCACCCAGGCCCCAACACCCCCCTGTGCACCCCCCACCTTCACAGCCCCCAAATCATTCCACGACCCCAAAACTCTGCCCTGCCCCAACCCAACCTCCCCCCATGTCCCCCCTCCTCCTGTCCCTTGCTGACCCCCCCAGCCCCCCCCATTACCTCTTTTGCCCTCCCCATGGGGGTGGGAGTGTCCCTGTGACCCCCAGCCCCCCCATGACCCTTCTTTTGCCCCCGGGGTGGAGTGTCCCTGTGACCTCCTCCAGCCCCCATTACCCTTTGACCCCCGGGGGTGGGGTCTCGTGCTAAGCCCCTTCAGCTCCCGCCGGACCTTCCCGGGCTTGGCCTTGGCCTGAGCCTGGGGGGGGGACAGGGAGGGGGGGTCAGGGACCCCCAGGGACCCCCAGGAATCCACAGAGACCCCCCAGGACCCCCAGGGATCCACACAGAGACCCCCAGGGACCCCAGGACCCCAGGAATCCACAGAGACCCCCAGGGACCCCCAGGGATCCACAGAGACCCCCAGGGACCCCCAGGGACCCCCAGGAATCCACAGAGACCCCCAGGGACCCCCAGAGACCCCCAGGGATTCAAAGACCCCCTGGATCCACAGGGACCCTCAGAACCCTCCCCCCAGCAAGGTCCCAGGGGGTTCCCAGGGGGTTCCCAGGGGTTCCAGGGGTCCCAGGGGTCCCAGGGGTCAGGTCCCAGGGGTCCTAAGGGTCTCAGGGGTCCCCCCCCCACACCTGCAGCTCCCGGTTCTTCTCCTGTTTCTGCTGGAATTTCTCCAACTTCTCCCGTTTTTTGGCCTCTTTTTTCAGCTGGGCCGCTCTTGGGGGGAGGGGCGGCCTCGGACCCCCTGGGCTGGGACCCCAGCTGGGACCCCAGGCCCTCCTCCTGCCCCGGGGGGGGCACGGTCCCTGGGGAGGGGGGGGAATGGAAGTCAGTGCTTGGACCCAGAGACCCCAAAACCCCCAAACCCCCCAAACCCCCAAACCGACCCTGACACCCCTGACCCAGAGACCCCAAAGCCCCCCAAAACCCCCCAAACCCCCAAACCCACCCTGACACCCCCTGACCCAGAGACCCCCAAACCCCCCAAGACACCCCCCAAAATACAACTCATGGACACCCCAAAGACCCCCAACCCTCCCCAGCCCCAGAGACACCCCCAAAAACACCCCCAAGGACCCCCAGACACAGAGACCACCCAGAGAACTCCCCAAAATCCCCCCGAGACCCCCTGACCCAAAGACCTCCCAAACACCCCCCACACTCACATGGGGGTCCCTGAGCCCCCCTGGGTGTTTTTTGGGGTCCCTGAGCCCCCCAGACTCACCTGGGTGTTTGGGGGTCCTCGAGCCCTCCTCCAAGGGTCACCTCCCCAGCTCAGCCCTGAACTGGGGTAACTGGACACAGGACTGGAACTCAGCGCAGGACCCCGGGAACCGCGACACAGAGGGGGGTCCAGCACCTGGGGGTCACAGGGGGTCAGGGGGTCAGCAGGGGGTCAGGGGGCACAGGACACAGGGGGGCACAGGAACCAGCGCAGGACCCCGGGAACCGCGACACTGAGGGGGGTCCAGAACCTGGGGGCACAGGGGGGTCAGGGGGTCACAGGGGGAACAGAGTGAATGGGGGCTCTGAGGGAGTTGGGGGTGTCCCAGGGGGTCCTGGGGGTTTTGGGGTCTCACCTCCCGGAAGGGCCCAGCAGGGCACAGGTGATTGGGGGTTCAGGGGGTTCAGGGGGTCCCAGGGGGCTTTGGGGGTCTCACTCCCGGAAGGGCCCCAGCAGGGCGCAGGCCACGGTGACGTCAGCCAAGGTCACCCCCTCCCCCACGAGGAAGGAGCGGCCGCTCAGGTGGGACTCGAGAGCCCCCAGGGCCCGGAACAGCTCCTGCAGCGCCCGGGGACGCGCCTGGGGGCTAGGGGTCAGGGACCCCAAAACCATCCAAAAACCACCCCCAAAACCCCCAAACCACCCCCAACCCCTCTCCCAGAGCCCCCAGGGCCCGGAACAGCTCCTGCAGCGCCCGGGGACGCGCCTGGGGGGGGTCAGGGGGGGTCAGGGACCCCAAAAACCCTAAAAAACCACCCCCAAAAACTCCCCAAACACTCCCAGAGCCCCCAGGGCCCGGAACAGCTCCTGCAGTGCCCGGGACGCGCCTGGGCTAGGTCAGGGACCCCAAAACCCTAAAAACCACCCCAAAAACCCCCAAACCCACCCAAATCCACCCAAAACACCCTCATTACCTCCAGACTCCCAGGACCCCCAGCCCCTTTATACCCTCCATAACCCCCTGGGCCCCTTCCCGGCCCCCCAGCCCTTGGACCCCCCAGCCCTTGGACCCCCTCTAAACCCCTCCTAGACCCCTCCCCACCTCGAGGGCCCCCTCAACTGTCCCCAGCCCCTTCAGAACCCCCCACATGTCACTACCCCAGCCCCATAACTCCCATATGTCACCCCCAACCCCATAACCCCCATAATCAACCCCCCCAGCCCCATAACCCCCATATGTCACCCCCCATCCCTGGAGCACCCCATAAACCCCTCATAACCCCCCCATATGTCGCCCCCAGCTCCTGGAGCCCCCATAACCCCTCCCGGCCCCATAACCCCCTCAGCCCCATAGCCCCCCATATGGCACTCCCTGTCCCCATAACCCTCATAGCCTCTCACAGCCTCCCATGACCCTCCATGACCCCCTGACCTGCAGGGTCCCCCGCGATGGCGGCCGCCGTTCCGAGCTCCCCTCGGCGAATCCTCGACCCACTGCCGGACCAGGCTCTGCTGGGTCCCAGCCTGCGCAGCGCGGGGCTCAGCAGGAGCGCGGCGGGGCCGGGGCCCAGCAGGGCCCCCGGGGTCCGCAGGGCGGGGGCTCCCGGGCCACCCTCTGGATGGCGGGGTCCTGGCCCGAAGCGGGCGGCGATCAGGACGCGAAGGGCGGGGGCGTCCTGGGGCGGCGGCAGCAGCAGCACCGGGGGCGGCCATGGCTGGGGAGATTTGGGGGTCAGGAGGGAAATGGGGGCTGGGGGGGAGATTGGGGGTCTGGGGGCTTTGGGAGCCATCGGGGCCTTCGGTTTGGGGGTCCGGGGTGGGGGGTCGGGGCATCCTCAGATCCTGCGGGGGTACCGGTTGGGGGTCCCGGGAGCACTCAGGGGGTTATTTTGGGGTCCCGGTTTGGGGGTCCCAGGTTTGGGGGTCACTCAGGGGGTCCTTGGGGTTTCTCAGGGGGTCCCGGGTGGTAGCCCTTTGGGGTCCCAGGGGGTCCCGGTTTAGGGAGTCACTCGGGGGTCCCAGGTGTGTATTTTGGGGTCCCGCGGCATCCCCGGCCCCAGGGGCTGTCGGTGGGGCCGGTTGGGGGTGTCCTGGCTGGGGGAGCGGGGAGGTTCGGGGTCCCAGGGTGGGCTTTGGGGTGTTTTTGGGGGGGGTTTTGGGGGTCACGTGCCCGCCCCGCCCCCTCCCGGTACCTGCGGCGGCGGCGGGAGGAGACACGTGGGGCGGCGCGAGGGGCGCGTGCGCGCAACCCGCGCTCCCATTGGCTGCCGCCAGCCCGGGGGGCCCGCCCCCCGCCGCGTCCCATTGGCTGGCGCCCCCGGCGTGGGCGGAGCCCCAGTACCATAGAGCTCTGCGCAGAGCGCCCCCTGGCGGCGCGGAGGTGCAAACACCCCCAACCCCCCCGGGACCCCCAAAAACGGGGGAAGGGGGGGGTGGAGACCCCAAAACCGCCCGAAATGCACCCAAAGCACCCCCCGAACGCTCCCTGAGAGAGAAACACACACAGAGCAGCGCATGGGGCGGGGCTTTATTGGCATCACGGGGGGGAGGGGGTTTGGGGTCCCCAAATTTTGGGGGGGGTTTGGGGGTCGTCACTGTTTCTGCTGCAGCGCCTCCTTCCGAGCCGCGTCCTGGAGCAGCTGCGTGTCCACCTCGTCCGCCGGCAGCTGCACGTAGCGAACCACGGAGCCCCGGATGAAGCAGTTCTTGACCGACAGCTGGGGGGACCCCAAAATGCACTGAGATCCCCGAAAAACACAGAGAGACCCCCGAGATACACTGAGACCTCCCCAAAACAGCCACTGAGACCCCCGAAAAACCCACTGAGAGTCCCTCATGAAATGACACTGAGGACCCCGAAAAGCACTGAGATCCCCCCAAAATACACATGAGACCCCCAAAAACACACAGAGACCCCCGAAAATACACTGAGACCCCCAAAAACACACTGAGACCCCCCAAAATAAACTGAGACCCCCAGAACAGCCACGGAGCCCCCAGACCCCCCAGAACAGCCCAAACCCCGCCAGACCCCAGGGACCCCCTCAGGGAACCCTAGATGTGGGGTGACCCCTCCCCAGAACGATCTGCAGACCCCCAGGACCTCCCCAGCCCCCGGGAGCCTCCCGACCCCCAAAGCCCCCAAGCCCCCCAAAGCCCCCAAGCTCCCAAGCCCTCACCATGTGCGGGTACTTCTCGGGGTCGGTGACGCTGATGTCGGTCAGTTTGATGTTCAGGTACTGGGGGGGCAGGGGGTTTAGAGACCCCAAAGAGGGGTCGGAGCCCCCAGAGCCCCGGGGAGCAGAGCCCCAGACCCCCACTCACCTGATCCACTGAGTGCAGGGTCCTGCAGATGCTGCCGAGAGATGCGGGGGATTTGGGGGTTAGGGGGCCAGGGGGTCTTGGGGGTCTCAGGAGGGTCTGGGGGTCCGGGGAGGTTTTGGGGGTCGTCTCAGGGTCCCCGCCTGGGAGTTTGGGGGGGTCCTGGAGAGGTCAGGGGGTCCTGGAGGGGTCATTGAGGGGATCAGGGAGGTTGAGGGGTCCCTGGGGGTCCTGGGGGTTATGGGGGTCCCGGGGTTGAGGGGTCCCTGGGGATCTCTGGGGTCTCCTGGGGGTCCCGGGGTGTCCCTGGGGGTCCTAAGCCCCCCCTCACCTGAGGTCGTTCTTGAGCTCGACCACCACGTCCTTCCCCACCAGGACTTGAAGAAGGAGTAGAAGAGCTGGGGGCACGGCGGGGCCAGGGGGCTCGGGGGACTCCAAGACCCTCCTCACGCCCGGGATGGGGTCGCGGCCGGGGGAGGTCCTGGGAGGGGTTCCGGGGGCGCTCAGGGGGCACAGAAGGACGCGGAGGGGACTCGGGGCTCCGGGGTGGGGTGGGCCCGGGGGGCCGGAGGGACCCCAAAAACCCCCAAAATCCTCCCCCGCTCTCACCATCGCTGCGGAGCGCGCCAAGCAGGCCCCGCCCCCTTCCGCCAACGGCCCCGCCCACCAGGGGTAAGCCACGCCCCCTTCCGGGACCACGCCCCGCTCGGGAAAACCACGCCCACACCACGCCCGGGACGAGGCCCCGCCCACCGCCCACGCCCCGCCCACGCCGGGCGGTGGCGGGAAATGATTCACCCGCCCCCACAACCGGGTCAAAGGTCACGGGGATGGGGGGGGACCCCAAAATCTTCGGGGACCCCCCCGGAAAGTTCTGGTCCTGTCCTGGGGTCTTCACAAACCCCCAATGTCCCCCCCGAGTGTCCATCCCAGTGTCCCCCCAATGTCCCCCAATGTCCCCTCATGTGTCCCCAATGTCCCCCAATGTCCCCCAGTGTCCCCCAGTGTCCCCAATGTCCCTCTATGTCCCCAGTGTCCCCAATGTTCCCCCAATGTCACCCCAGTGTCCATCCCAGTGTCCCCCCAATGTCCCCTCAATGTCCCCTCAATGTCCCCAATGTCCCCCCAGTGTCCCCCAATGTCCCCCAATGTCCCCTCAATGTCCCCTCAATGTCCCCTCAATGTCCCCCCAATGTCCCCCCAGTGTCCCCTCAATGTCCCCCAATGTCCCTCAATGTCCCCAATGTCCCCTCAATGTCCCCCAATGTCCCCCAGTGTCCCTCAATGTCCCCCAATGTCCCTCAATGTCCCCCAATGTCCCCCCGTGTCCCCAATGTCCCCTCAATGTCCCCCCAATATGTCCCCAATGTCCCCAATGTCCCCAGTGTCCCCAATGTCCCCCCATGTCCCCAATGTCCCCTCAGTGTCCCCCAATGTCCCCAATGTCCCCTCAGTGTCCCCCCATGTCCCCTGTCCCCCATGTCCCTGTCCCCCATGTCCCCCCTGTCCCCACGTGTCCCCTGTCCCCGTGTGGCCCCATGTCCCCCTGTCCCCCCACGTGTCCCCTGTCCCCTGTGGGTCCCCATGTCCCCCATGTCCCCTGTCCCCCACGTGTCCCTGTCCCTGCTGTGTCCCCCGTGTCCCCCCATGTCCCCCTGTCCCTGCTGTGTCCCCCTGTCCCCCCATGTCCCCCTGTCCCCCATGTCCCCTGTCCCTGCTGTGTCCCCCTGTCCCCCATGTCCCTCTGTCCCCCATGTCCCCTGTCCCTGCTGTGTCCCCATGTCCCCCCATGTCCCCTGTCCCCCCACGTGTCCCCTGTCCTCGTGTCGGTCCCCATGTCCCCCATGTCCCCATGTCCCCCTCACGTGTCCCTGTCCCCGTGTCGGGTCCCCATGTCCCCCTGTCCCCCACATGTCCCCTGTCCCCGTGTGGGCCGTGTCCCCCATGTCCCTGTCCCCCACGTGTCCCCTGTCCCCCCACGTGTCCCCTGTCCCCGTGTGGGTCCCCATGTCCCCCATGTCCCTGTCCTCCCACGTGTCCCCTGTCCCCTGTGGGTCAGTGTCCCCTCCATCCCCCTGTCCCCCACGTGTCCCCTGTCCCCGTGTGGTCCCCATGTCCCCCCATGTCCCCCTGTTCCCCTGTGGGTCCCCTGTCCCCCCCCACGTGTCCCCTGTCCCCGTGTGGGTCCGGTGTCCCCTCCCAGGCCAGCCCTCCCACGCGGGGCCGGGTGGGGACCGGGAGAACCGGCCCCGTGTCCCGTGATGTCACCCAGTGTCCCTGTCCTGTCCCTGCCCTGTGTCACCTGTGTCCCCTGTGTCACCTGTGTCACCTGGCCCTGCGTCACCTCCCCCACCACGGCCATTTAAGGGCCACCCGGGGTGTCCCCAACACCACTCGGAGCTGCCGGTGAGTGGGGACAGGGACGGGGTGGGACAGGGACAGTGGGATGGGACAGGATGGGACAGGATGGGGACAGTGGGGACAGGGCTGGGGACAGGGATGTTGAGATGGGACAGGATGGGGACATTGGGATGGGGACAGGGCTGGGGACAGGGACATTGGGATGGGACAGGATGGGGACAGGATGGGGACAGGATGGGACAGGATGGGACAGGATGGGGACAGGATGGGGATATTGGGGCTGGGGGGACATTGGGATGGGGACAGGATGGGGACAGGGGGGACATTGGGATGGGACAGGATGGGGACAGGGGGGACAGGGCTGGGACAGGGCTGGGGGATGGGGGACATTGGGATGGGACAGGAGGGGGATATTGGGGATGGGGGGACCTTGGACACACTGTGATGGGGACAGGGTTGGGGACAGGAGGGGACATTGGGGACACTGGGATGGGAGGGAAACAGGGACATTGGGGACAGAGCTGGGGACAAGGATGTTGAGATGGGACAGTGGGGACAGGGCTGGGACAGGGCTGGGGACAGGGGGGACATTGGGCTGGGGACAGGGACAGGATTAAGGACAAGGTGGGGACAGGACGGGACATCGAGGATGGGGCTGGGACAGGGACGTTGGGGACATTGGGATGGGGACAGGATGGGGACAGTGGGGACAGGGCTGGGGACAGAGCTGGGGACAGGGCTGGGATGGGGCTGAGGACAGGGGGGACATTGGGATGGGACAGGAGATGGACCTTGGGGACAGGAGAACAGGGATGGGGTGGATGGGGTGGGGACACAGGGACAGGATGTGGGGATGGGCATGGGGACAGGATGGGAACAGAGGGATGAGGGGACAGAGGGACAGGATGTGGGGATGGGGATGGGGACAGGATGGGGACAGAGGGATGAGGGGACAGAGGGACAGGATGTGGGGATGGGGATGGGGACAGGATGGGGACAGAGGGGTGAGGGGTCAGGGAAGGGCCAGGATGGGGACAGGGCCAGGATGGGGTTAGAGGGATGAGGGGACAGAGGGACAGGATGTGGGGATGGGGACAGAGACAGGATGGGGATGGGGACAGGATGGGGATGGGGACAGGATGGGGTTAGAAGGATGAGGGGACAGAGGGACAGGATGTGGGGATGGGGATGGGGACAGGATGGGGACAGGATGGGGCCAGCAGAATGAGGGGACAAGGAAGGGCCAGGATGGGGACAGGGCCAGGATGGGGTTAGAGGGATGAGGGGACAGAGGGAGAGGATGTGGGGATGGGGATGGGGACAGGATGGGGACAGGATGGGGACAGTGGGATGAGGGGACAGGGACAGGATGGGGATGAGGACAGGATGGGGACAGGGAAGGGACAGCGGGATGAGGGGACACACACTGGGGGACAGGGGGTGTCACTGGGACCCAGGAGTGGGACGGGACAGGGTGGAGGGGGTCAGGACGGGGTGGGGCTAGGCACTGTCCCCAATGTCCCTCCAATGTCCCCCAATATCTCCCAATATCCCCCTATGTCCCCAATGTCCCTCACTGTCCCCTAATGCCCTAATGTCCCCCGCTGTCCCCAATGTCCCTCACTGTCCCCAATGTCCCCCCAATGTCCCCTCAATATCCCCCCAATATCCCCCCTATGTCCCCAATGTCCCCTCACTGTCCCCAATGTCCCCAATATCCCCTCACTGTCCCCGCTGTCCCCGCTGTCCCCAGGGATGTGTGCAGGTGCCCAGTGCCTGGCTAACCTGATCCGCTGGATCTGGGGGGTCATCAGAGGCCTCTGGGGGGGCCACGGAGGTGAGGGGGGGGCACCGGGGAGGGGACACCCTGGGACCCCGGGGAGGACAGGATGGGGGAGGGACACCCTGGGACCTCCGGGGAGGGGATGGGGTGGGGCAGGACCTGGGACACACGGGGCACTTGGGGAGGGTGACACTCTCCGGGGAGCACGGAGGGTTGGGGGTCCCACGGGGCTGGGGGACATTTGGGACCCTGGGGAGGTGACACCCCTGGGGGACACGGGGGGCTCTGGGGACACCCGGGCCCCGGGGGTGGAGGGGGGGGTGAGGACACGGGGGTGTCCCACGGGGCAGGGGAGGGGCCCACGGTGTCCGTGGGGGAATTTTGGGGCTCAGGGTCCAGGGCAGGGCTGGGGTCAAAGGTCACTGGCTGACCCCCTTTCTCTCCTCCCCACAGGGACCCCCCAACCCCCCCCGGCCGAGAGGGGGACGATGGTTCCCGGCAAGGAGGATTGAGACCCCCCCGGGACCCCAAAAACCTCCTGGGGAGCCCCCCGGGACCCCAAAACTTCATGGGGACCCCCCTGGGGGTGAATAAAGGACCTTGAGCCGTGACCGTGTCTGGTTTTGGGGAGTTCCTTTCTCCCCCAGTCCCGATTTATTCCCCCCCCCAATTATTTATTCCTCCCCCCAATTTATTTCCCCTCATCCCATTTCCCCCCAATCCCAATTTATCCCGATTTTTCCCAGTTTATCCCGATTTTCCCCCGAATTTTTCCCGATTTATCCCGATGTTTCCCCGCTCATCCCGACTTTCCTGGGGCGGGGAAGGGTTAATTCCCCCTCCCTCGATGTCCCCGCGGGGACAAAGCCCGGAATGTCCCGATGGGATTTGGGGGGGGGGAAGTTTCTCCGCCGGGACATTCCCGGGATTTTCGGGAGGGAAAATCAGATCGTTTGGGATGGACTCAAAAAAAAGGGGGAAAAGAGTTAAAAATGTCGATTTTTGTCTCTCACAATGGGGCAAAAAAAACCTGGGAAAAATTGGGGGAATATCGGGAAAAACTGGGAGTAATTGGGGGGAAAAAAAGGGAAGGAAATTGGGAGAAAAATTGGGGGAAAAAAAGGGGAAAATTGGGAGACAAAATGGGGAAATACGGGGGGAAAAAACTGGGACAGAAACTGGGGAGAAAAAAGGGAAAGAAAACAGACAAAATTGGGGGGGAAAATGGGAAAAGATGGGGAGAAAACGGGGAAAAATGGGAGAAAACGGGGAAAAATTGGGAGAAAATGGGGGAAAATTGGGAGAAATGGGAAACCCTGAAAATTGAGGTTTTAGGGGGTCAGGGTTGATTTTTCCCATGGGAAAAGAAAGAGCCGGGAACGGTCCCGGAGCGCTGGGGAGGGCGCAGCCCCTCCCCAGTCGATGGCCCATCGAAAAGGGCCCAGGGGTCGTTGGCACCGGGGGTTGGAGTCGTTGGCACCGGGGGCGGCCCCAGGTCAGGTGGGTCCTTTCCCCCGGGGAGGAGTTTGTTCCAGCAGAGCCCAAATTCACCTTTTTGACCCAAATTGAGGCCTGGGATGCAGGACCCTCTGAGCTCCTGAACCCCCGGCCATGGCCGAGCCGCAGGTAGGGCTGGGGGAGGATTTGGGGAATTGGGAAGTTCGGGGTCCGGGGTGCTCTGAGTCCATGGGACTGAATTTTGGGTCTTTTCCTCCTTTTTCCCACGTTTCTCTCCCCCCTCCAAAAAAAAAGGTGCCCGAGGTGCTCCAGGAGGTCACGGTCACCACCGAGCCCCCTGAAGGTGGGGAACCCCCAGATCCCGCCCAAATTACCTCCCAAATTACCTCCCAACCCTCCAAATAACCCCCAAGCCCCCAAATCCCCCAAATTAACCCCTTCGACCTCCCAAAACCCTCCATCCCCCCATTACCCCCAAACCCCGCCTCCAATCCCCGGGTCTTCCCCATCCCAGGCGGGATTTGCTCCCCTGTCGGTCCCGGGGTCCTCGGACCCCTGACCCCCAAACCCCCGAGAGGCTCGGGGCTCCGCTGGACTCCCCTGACTCCCAAATCCCCGAGGGCTCTGGGGCTCCATTGACCTCTCACGCCTCCCCAGGTGCCCCTGGGCCTGACCCCCTGGGGTTTGATCCCCTGGGCCCTCTCCCGGACGAGGAGGAGGAGGAGGAGGAGGAGGAAGGTCTGGCCCGGCCCCTCCTCTGGCTCTGGGGGCCGGGGGCCTGACTCAGGTCAGGGGCTCCAGCTTGGGGGCACTGGGACACGGGAACTGGGGCACTGGGAGGAACTGGGAGAGGGATTGGGATGGAGGGACTGGGGGAAACTTGGAGGGGTGGACATGGGAATTGGGGACACTGGGGGTGGGACACGGGCACTGGGGCATGGAGGTTGGGACATGGGCACTGGGGGCACTGGGGTGGGACACGGGCCCTGGGGAGTGGGATATGGGCACAGGGGGCACTGAGGGCACTGGGGGTGGGATGGGGGCACTGGGGGTGGGACACGGGCCCTGGGAGTGGGATATGGGTACAGGGGCACTGGGGGCACTGGGGGTGGGATGGGGGCACTGGGGTGGGACACGGGCCCTGGGGAGTGGGATATGGGACTGGGGGCACTGAGGGCACTGGGGGGTGGGATGAGGGCACTGGGGGCATTGGGGGTGGGATGGGGCACTGGGAGGTGGGACGTGGGCACTGGGGGCACTGGGAGGTGGGACACAGGCACTGGGGGCACTGGGGGTGGGATGGGGGCACTGGGGGTGGGATGGGGCACTGGAGGGTCCTCCAGGACCCCTCCAGGCCGGACTTTGATCCGAATTTCCCCCATCTCCAGACAACGACTGTCCCAGCGAGCCCGAGCCCCGCTCCGCCAGCGCCTCCCCGCGAGCCCCCGGCCCTGGTGGGACCCCCGACGCCCCCCGCCCTAAGCCCCCCGGGCGCCCCGGGAGCCCCCGAGCCCCGCACCCCTGCGAGCTGTGCGGGAAGTCCTTCAGCAGCGCCTCCTCCCTGCGCCGCCACCGCCGCGGCCACCGCGGGGCTCCCCGGGACCCCCTTCAGCTGCTACCGCTGCCGCGGCCCCTTCTGGAGCGGGGGGGCCCTGCGGGAGCACCTGCGGGGCGCGCCCTGCCCGCGCAGACCCCACAAGTGCCGCTCCTGCCCCAAGCGCTTCGCCTCGGCCCGCGCCCTCCGCAAGCACCGGCGGCTGCACCGCGACGGCGGCGGCGGCTTCGCCTGCGGGGACTGCGGGAAGAGCCTGTCGAGCCGCGCCAGCCTCGAGACCCACCGGCGGATCCACACCGGGGAGCGGCCCTACCCCTGCCCCGACTGCGGCCGCGGCTTCATGGGCTCCAAGTCGCTCAGCAAGCACCGCAAGAGCCGCCACGGCGCCGGCTTCACCTGCGCGACTGCGGCAAGAGCCTCTCGTCGGGGCCCGCGCTCGTCACGCACCGGCGCATCCACACCGGGGAGCGGCCCTACAGCTGCCCCGACTGCGGCAAGGGCTTCATGGCCACCAAGTCGCTCAGCAAGCACCGAAAGTCCCACCTGCAGGGCGGGCCGGGCTCCTTCCCTGCCCGAGGAGGGGGCCGCCGCGGAGGGGGCTGGGGGTGAGGCTGAGGGGCGGCAGGGGGAGTCCCGAGCCCGGCCCTAAAGCCAACCCCAATCCCGACCCTAAACCCTACCCCGGTCCCGGCCCCAAATCCAACCTCAATCCCGACCCTAAACCCAACCCCAGTTCCGACCCTAAACCCAACTCCCCAGCCCCAAATCCTGCCCCAGCTCCCCCAGTCCCAGCTCCGAGTCCTTCCCTAACACCTGCCTCGGTCCCAACCCCAACCCCTGCCCCAACTCCCTCACCCCCTGTCCCAGCCCCACTCCCAATCCCAGCCCCACCGCCGTTGCCCCACTGCCCGGCCGGGCCCCACCAGTGCTCCCAGTGCGTGTCGGGCCCCACGGCCCCTCCGTCTCTGGGGCTGCCCCATGCCGGGCAGGGGGCCCATCCCGGGCAGGGGGCCCATCCCGGGCAGGGGGCTCCCCAGAAGGGCCGTGGGCCCCGTCCCCAGGTGTGCGGGGACTGCGGGAAGGGGTTCCGGGACGGGGCGTCCCTGCGGCGCCACCGGCGCGTCCACACCGGGGAGAGGCCCTTCGGGTGCCCCGAGTGCGGGAAGAGCTTCCGCTCCAGCTCCTCCCTCGTCATCCACCGGCGCATCCACAGCGGGGAGAGGCCCTTCGGCTGCCCCCGCTGCCCCCGCCACTTCATGTCCCGCTCCTCCCTCGCCAAACACCTGCGGAGCCACCACGGGGACAGGCCCTGACCGGGGCTCGAGGGCTGGGGGGGGCCCAGAGAGGGGGCTGGGGGAGGATTCGGGGCGCCTGCCCGGATTGACGAATTTTGGGTTCCCAGCTCAGGGACTGATGGAATTTGGGTGCCCAGCTCAGGGATTGACGGAATTTTTGGGTGCCCAGCTCAGGAACTGATGGAATTTTTGGGTGCCCAGCTCGGGGATTGAGGAATGAATCCTGCAGGGATCAACAGAATTTGGGTGCCCAGCTCAGGGACTGATGGAATTTTTGGGTGCCCAGCTCAGGGATTGATTGGTGGATGAACCCTCAGGAACTGATGGAATTTTTGGGTGCCCAGCTCGGGGATTGATGGATGAACCCGCAGGGATTGATGGATGAACCCGCAGGGATTGATGGATCAGCCCTCAGGGACTGATGGAATTTTTGGGTGCCCAGCTCAGGGATTGAGGGATGAACCCGCAGGGATCAACAGAATTTGGGTGCCCAGCTCAGGGACTGATGGAATTTTTGGGTGCCCAGCTTGGGGATTGATGGATGAACCCGCAGGGATTGATGGATCAGCCCTCAGGGACTGATGGAATTTTTGGGTGCCCAGCTCAGAGAGGAATGCCAGGGATTGATGGATCGAGATGCCCGCTCAGGACTGATGGAATTTTTGGGTGCCCAGCTCGGGATTGTGGACTGAACTCGCGAGGATCAATAGAATTTGGGTCCAGCTCAGGGACTGGAATTTTGGGTGCCCACGGATTGATGGATGAACCTGCAGGGATTGATGGATCAGCCCTCAGGGACTGATGGAATTTTTGGGTGCCCAGCTCGGGATTGAGGGATGGATGAACCCTCAGGGACTGATGGAATTTTTGGGTGCCCACCTCAGCAATCAACGGATGGACATTGGGTGACCCCCTCAGGGACTGATGGAATTTGGGTGCCCACCCCAGGGATCGATGGAATTTGGGTGCTCTGCTGAAGGACTGATGGAATTTGGGCACCCAACTCAAGGACTGGTGGAATTTTGGGTGCCCAGGCCAGGGATCAGTGGATGAATTTTGGGCACCCACCTCAGGGATCAGTGGATGAATTTTGGGTGCCCAGCCCAGGGATGGATGGATAAATTTTGGGTGCCACCTCAGGGATTGAGGCGAAATAAAGCAGAATTGGGATTTTTGGGAGTGTGGGGGTTGTTATTTGATGGCTCAGGGGTGGGGGGTGTGGAAGGTTGGGATTGGGCTGAAAACGGCCCATTTTGGAGGTGCTGAACTCTTTAATGTTTGGGGGGGGTTTGTGTCCACACAAAAATGGAGGGAAATGCACAGAAAGCACAGAAACCCCCCCAAAACCTGGGGGGCTGTGGGGCAGGGGGGGCAGGAGGACCCCAGGACAAGGGGACCACCCTTTCCCCCCCAAAGGGGACCCCGGACCCGGCCGGAGCCAGGGCTGGACCGGCCCCAGTCTGGGGGATTTGGGACCAGCACAGGATGGGTGTGGGGGATTTGGGACCAGCACAGGGTGGGTGTGGGGGATTTGGGATCAGGGCACAATGGAGATGGTCCCCAGCTCCAGCCAGAACCAGGGCCGCAGGGTTTGGGGGATGAAGGATTTAGGATCAGGGGAGGATGGATTTGGGCTCAGGGGATTTGGGCTCAGGGGATGATGGATTTAGGATGAGGGGAGGATGGATTTGGGATCAGGGCACGATGGAGATGGTCCCCAGCTCCAGCCAGAACCAGGGCCGCAGGGTTTGGGGGATGATGGATTTGGGCTCAGGGTTTGGGGGATGATGGATTTGGGCTCAGGGGATTTAGGATCAGGGGATGATGGATTTGGGATCAGGGCACAAGGGAGATGGTCCCCAGCTCCAGCCAGAACCAGGGCCGCAGGGTTTGGGGGATTTGGGATCAGGGTTTGGGGGATGATGGATTTGGGATCAGGGGATTTAGGATCAGGGGAGGATGGATTTGGGCTCAGGGCACGAGGGAGATGGTCCCCAGCTCCAGCCAGAACCAGGGCCGCAGGGTTTGGGGGATGATGGATTTGGGCTCAGGGGATTTGGGATCAGGGGATTTGGGCTCAGGGCACGAGGGAGATGGTCCCCAGCTCCAGCCAGAACCAGGGCCGCAGGGTTTGGGGGATGATGGATTTGGGATCAGGGGAGGATGGATGATGGATTTGGGCTCAGGGGATTTGGGCTCAGGGCATGAGGGAGATGGTCCCCAGCTCCAGCCAGAACCAGGGCCGCAGGGTTTGGGGGATGATGGATTTAGGATCAGGGCATTTGGGCTCAGGGGATGATGGATTTAGGATGAGGGGAGGATGGATTTGGGCTCAGGGCACGATGGAGATGGTCCCCAGCTCCAGCCAGAACCAGGGCCGCAGGGTTTGGGGGATGATGGATTTGGGCTCAGGGTTTGGGGGATGATGGATTTGGGCTCAGGGGAGGATGGATTTGGGATCAGGGCATTTGGGCTCAGGGGATGATGGATCTGGGCTCAGGGCACAAGGGAGATGGTCCCCAGCTCCAGCCAGAACCAGGGCCGCAGGGTTTGGGGGATGATGGATTTGGGCTCAGGGGATTTGGGCTCAGGGGATGATGGATTTAGGATCAGGGGAGGATGGATCTGGGCTCAGGGCACGAGGGAGATGGTCCCCAGCTCCAGCCAGAACCAGGGCCGCAGGGCCTCTCCCCCAAAGCGGGCTCTGGGGAAGGCGAAGAGGGGCCGGGGCGTCCCCGCCGTGTCCCCGTCCCCATCGAAAAAGGCCACCCGGCCCCCCTCGTAGTCGAGGGCGACGCGGAGGCGCCGGGGCAGCCTGGCCAGGGGCGTGGGGGGCTCGGTGAGGGCGCGGCCGCCGCCCCCCCAGCGCTGCAGGGCCCAGACCCCGTCCCGCGGGCTGAAGGCGAGGGGGCCGCGGCGCCGCAGGGACCCCCGGCTGACCCCCACGGCGCAGAAGGGGCCCCCCCCCAGCTCCACGCTCCAGCTGTGGCGGCCGGAGCGGAACTCGGGCAGCCCCAGCACGCACGGGACCCCCTGGAAGCGCTCGGGGCTCGCGGGGGGCTCGGGGGTCCCGTAGGCCCAGCGCGCGCTCCGCCCGTCCCCCGACAGCGCCAGCCACGGGTGCGACGTCCCGGGGTCCAGCGTCACCCACGCTGGGGACGGGGGGGTGGGGGGGATAAATGGGATAGAGGGGGAAACAGGGATGGGGGGGATAAAATGGGATAGACGGGAGAAACAGGGATGGGGGATAAATGGGATAGAGGGAGAAACAGGGATGGGGGATAAATGGGATAGAGGAGAAACAGGACGGGGAAACAGGGATGGGGGGATAAATGGGATAGAGGGAGAAACAGGACGGAGGAAACAGGGATGAGGGGATAATCAGGGATAGAGGGGGAAACAGGGATGGGGGATAAATGGGATAGAGGGAGAAACAGGGATGGGGGGAAACGGGATGGGGGGATAAATGGGATAGAGGAGAAACAGGGATGGGGGAAACAGGGATGGAGGATAATGGGGATAGAGGGAGAAACAGGGATGGGAGGATAAATGGGATAGAGGAGAAACAGGGATGGGAAGGATAAATGGGATAGAGGGGAGAAACAGGGATGGGAAGGATAAATGGCATAGAGGGAGAAATGGAGATAGAGAGGGGAAACAGGGATGGGAAGGATAAATGGGATAGAGGAGGTGAAACAGGGATGGGGGATAAATGGGATAGAGGGGAGAAACAGGGACAGGGGGAAACAGGGATGGGGGGATAACATGGGATGGGGGGAGATAACATGGGACAGAGGGGAAACAGGGATGGGGGGATAAATGATAGAGGAGAAACAGGATGAAGGATAAATGGGTATAGGGGTGAAACAGGGATGGGGGGGATAAATGGGATAGAGGAGGTGAAACAGGGATGGGGGAAACAGGGATGGGGGGATAAATGGGATAGAGGGGAGAAACAGGGATGGGGAAACGGGGATGGGGGATAATCAGGGATGGGGGAAATGGGCATAGAGGGGGAAACAGGGATGGGGAATGGGATAGAGGGGAAAATGGGGATGGGGGATAAATGGGATGGGGGATAAATGGGATAGAAGGGGAAATAGGGATAGAGGGGAAATGGGGATGGAGGGGAAACAGGGATGGGGAAATGGGATGGGGGGAAATGGGGATGGAGGATAAACAGGGATGGGAAGGATAAATGGGATAGAGGGAGAAACAGGGATGGGGGGATAAATGGGAATAGAGGGGGGAAATGGGAAAGAGGAGGAGGAGGAATGGGGTAGAGGGGGGATAAATGGGGATAGAGGGGGAAAAGGAGATGGGAAGGGATAAACAGGAATGGGGGAAACAGGGATGGGGAAGGAACAGGGATAGAGGGGGAACAGAGGTAGAGAGGGGATAGAGAGGGAATGGGGATAAAGGGGAATGGGGGATAAAGGGGGAATGGGGGGATACAGAGGAAAAGGGGGAATGGGGGAAGGATGGGAATAGGGGATAAAGTGGAATAGGGGGGAATAAAGGGAGGAAGGGGGGAAAAGAAGGATAAAAGAGGGTGAACCCAAGAAAAAGTCCCGGGTTCTGCCCCATTCCCCCCCTTTCCCACAAGGACTCACCCGCTTGTTCCTCCTCTTTCCCTAAAATCACATCAATTAAGGAAGGGCTCGTTAATGAGCCCGCCAGGAGCCCCCGGGGGGGAGGGAGGGGAGGGAGGGGAGGGGGAAACACTCACGGTGCTCCTCGAGGCACTGCCCTGCAGGGGAAGGGGGTGGCAGCGACACAAACCCGGTCAGGGGAGCCCAGGGCTTTGTTTTTGGGGACACTCCTGGAGCAGGAGCCCCCCGGGATGGGGACAGGACACTCACAGATCCTCCCTCGGGAATCCTCTGGAACACAGCAGGGACACAAAGCCCCCTCAGCCCAAAATATCGACCATAAACCTGATTATCCAGGGGGAATGTGGGGCAGGAATGGGCAGGAAATGGGATTTAAACCCTAAACCCTGCCGTGTGTTCGGGACCTTAAATGATTGTGCATTTACACATAACATTCAAATTATGATACAAAACATTATATACATTATATGTAATACATATGTTGTGTGTAACCATCATAACATCCTGTGATTTCAACAACACAGCGTTGCCAACACTCCTGACACCACTAATAATTAATTATAATAATAACTCGTGTGATTACCACATGTAGATGCAATTGCAGCCACAGGTTTTAGAGGATGGTTCTGAATAATGATAATTGTGATTATAAAGCACCTCTCTGCTCTCTCCCCCACAAAAAACCAACCCCAGAGCAGCTCAGAAGAGGCGTAAAAAACATAAAAAATTAAAAGTATGGGGATGAAAATCCGGTTTGAAAGCCCAGGAAATCAAAAGAACCCCCGAAGTGCAGCCCCAAACTCACCCAGCTCCTCCTGCAGCTCCGCTGGGGAAGCACAAAGGGAGAAATTCCATGAGAATTCCCTGGGAACGGCCCCAATTCCCAGCTGGGGAAGGTCCCACACTCACCCAGCTCTCTGTCCCGCTCCTCTGCAGGGAACAGGGGAAAGGAACTTCATTCTAATCATTGTACTGTATCATATTAACTAATAAATACCTATTATATCTCTTATCTTGTATATATTCATTGTATGTTGCCTTATCACAGTATTTATATGTGCTATACATATGTATTATAATGTATTATGTATTATATAGAGAAATACATTAAAATTATACTTTTCATTATAATTTTATTTATTACAATAAATTCATAATAGTAATTTGTAGTAATTTAGTTTACTAAATAATATTTAGTACTAAGTGGTATTCACTAATAATGTACTATTACACTTTCATATAATAAATGTACTGTAATAAATATGTAAATATAATAAATACATTGAGTTAATAAATTAATATATCAATATATTAACTCCATTAATAAATTGTAACCTACACCAAAGACTGTACAGTAAATAAAATATTTAACATATGACACCTATTATTACATTAATAAACTGTGAAAGGGAATAACGTATCTTGTAATACACATATAAAATATCCATTTATTTTACTCTTATTTTTCACATTATTTTACACCTATTTCACCTTAATTCACCCCTTTATTTCTATTGATTCTGGTGTACAAACCACACCAATCTGCAACCAAACCCCACCCACAAAAACATTTACCCAGAGCCGCCTCCAGCTCGGCTGGGAGGGAAGAACCCAAAACTCCTCAGTTTGGTGGCGCCCACCGGGAGGATTCCCCCCAAAATTCCCGGATTCCGGGGGGTTTGGGGGAGGGGGGGGGACACACGCACCGATCCTGGCATCTCGTCCTCCTGGAATGGGGAGGGGAGGGAAAAAAACCAGGAAAATTCAAATTATCCCTGAGGAATTCCCTGCTCCCTGTCCCTCCCCCAGGAATTGGAGGGAGAATTCCCATTTTGGGTCGGGTTTGGGGGCAGTGCAGCCAGCCCTGAGGGAACCCCTGGGTTTTCCATCCCAAATCCCCAAATTCCCAAGGGAAACCCCCAGGGTTTCCATCCCAAATTCCCAATGAAAACCCCCAGGGTTTCCATCCCAAATTCCCAAGGGAAACCCCAGGGTTTCCATCCCAAATCCCCAAATTCCCAAGGGAAACCCCCAGGGTTTCCATCCCAAATTCCCAAGGGAAACCCCCAGGGTTTCCATCCCAAATCCCCAATTCCCAAGGGGAAACCCCCAGGGTTTCCATCCCGAATTCCCAAGGGAAACCCCCAGGGTTTCCATCCCGAGCCTTCCCTGCCCGTCCCAGCCCTGGATCCCGGGATTTCGGGGCTCACCCAGCTCTGCCCTGAGCTCCTCTGGGGACCAAAGGCAAAAAGGGGGTGAATTTGGGGGATTTTCCCCCCCCGGGATCCTCCCCCGGAGCAGGAACCGAACCCACCCAGCTGCTCCTGGAGATCCCCTGGAAACAAGGAAGGAAAACTGGATGTGATGGGAAACCCGGGGGGCTTTGGAGATTCCAGGAGGAATTTCACCCCCCTTTATTCCTTCACTGCCCAATTTCAGCAGGAAAATGGGGGGGAAAACGGGAATAACGGGGAAGGGAACGACTCACTCAGTGCTCCCAGTGCTCCCAGTGCTCCCAGTTCTGGTGCTCCCAGTGTCTCCCGGTGCTCCCGGTGCTTGGGGCTCCTCTTCCCATTCTTCTTCCTGCTTTTCTTCCACTTCTACTGGCTCCTCTTCCTCCTCTTCCTCATCCTCTTCCTCCTCTTCTTCCTCCTCTTCTTCCTCCTCTTTTTCCTCTTCTTCCTCCTCTTCTTCCTCCTCCTCTTCCTCCTCCTCTTCCTCCTCCTCCTCTTCAGGGATTTCGTCTGAAAAGAGGAAAAAATGCCAAAAACCACCTGAAATCCCAAAGGATTCTTCCCCAACCCGAAGGGATTCCCTGGAATGAATCCAGAGGGATTTTACAATCCCAGAGGAATCCCCCCGATCCAAAGGTTTCCCTCAACTCCAAGGAATCCAAAGGGAATTCCCACCATTCACTCACCCCTCTCCAGGCCATTTTCCTCTGGGAACAGCAACAGGAACAGGAAAAAAAAAAAAAGGGGGAAAAAAATGACCAAGCTTTCCATCAGAAACCTGGATGTGCCATTTTTTGGGGGGGGATAGGGGGGGATCAAATTCCAAGGAAAAGCGGGATTTACCGAATTCCCCCTCCTGGAGTTGGGCTGCAAAGGGAAGGAGAGGGAGGAATTTGGCACCAGGAAAGTTCATTTTTAATTATGTGCAGTGGCACAAAGGGGGTCTGTGTGGGCCAAATTCAAGTAAACGCTGTTTAATTCTAATTAATTCTAATTAATATATAATTATATCTATATTTTATTATATCTAATATATATAACCTATAGTGTAATTACAGATTAATGATTTATGACACACAATTATAACACAATTATATGTTAATGTTTTGAAATTATTAAAATACATTTTATAATGTAATCATACATTAAGTATTTCTATTACATAATTATAATTATATATTAAGAATTATAATTATTATTTTGTTGTTAAATTCCCCCTCCTGGGCCCTTTTCTCGGCTGCTCCAACCCCCCAACCCAAACCAGGAGAAACCCCCCCAAAAAAACCCCTCAAACCCCCCAAATTTGGCCCCAGCAAAACAAACTCACCCAGCTCCTCCCTCAGTTTGCCTTTAAAAGAGGGAGAGAAAACAAGTTTTAATCAAAAAATCCCTTCCCAAATCCCCTGAGATTTTCAGGCCTTTTAATTCAGATTTTTTTAAGCGGAATTTCATTAATTTGGGGGGGTTTTTTGACCCCCAAATCCCCCCAGGGATCCCCAAATCCATCAGCACTTACTGATGACGGCATCCTGTTCTCCTGGAAGGGGAGGAAAAAAAAAAGGATTGGAATTCCAGGATTTTTCTGAGGGTTTGAGGCAAAAAAATGAGGGTTTGTGTCCAAAAATTGGGGCTTGGGGCGCAAGCATGAGGGTTTGGACACTAAAAATGGGGTTTGGGACCCTAAAAATGGGGATTTAGGCCTCAAAAATGGGGTTTGGACACTAAAAATGGGGTTTGGGACCCTAAAAATTGGGGTGGGTCACTCACCCAGCTGCTCCTTCAGGCGCCCTGGGGGAGGCAGAGAGAGATTAATTCAAATTAAAGGCACCAAATTGATTGACATCACTCAATTTGTGGAGTGTTTTATCATTACATGGCATTTAATGATACAAACAACACATAAATTAAATTTTGACTTACTGATCTCAGCTTCGTTTTCCCCTGGAAGGAGAAAAGAGATGGAAACAAATAAATTAATTTAAAAAGCCCTAAGGGTGAAATGGTTCTAAAACTAAACAAACACAAAAATAAAATACGAAGGTATGAATAAATAAAATAAAATAAAATAAAATAAAATAAAATAAAATAAAAGAGGGGAGCACTCACGGATCTGGGTGTCTCGGGCCTCTGCAATCAGCAGAAAGGAAGGCAATTACATTTTGGGGAAATGCAGTTTAACCCCATTATTTTATAATCCCTGATTTTACCAGCCCCCATTTCATAACCCCTGCTCGTATCTGTGTATTTAATGGAGATATTTATGCAATACACACATATTTATGTGTATTTCAGCCTCTGGACTCAATTAAAACCCCAATTTCCCCCTTAAAGCCCCCTCAAAGGAGGGAAATGCTCACCCAGCTCGGCCTCATGTTCCCCTGGGAGAGAGAAAAGAGGGAAAATGGGAATTTCCCGACGTTCCTCGTTCGTTGTTTGGGGGGAAAAATGGGATGAGGAAATAAATCCGGGCACTTACGGAGCTTTTTATTGCAGCACTCTGGGAAAAAAACAGAGAAATCTGGTTATTTGGGTTATTACAATAAAATAATGATTATAAATTGAATTATTGGAGTTATTAATAATTGTCATTTAATATAAATAATTAAAGCCAAGATTAGCAGCATCCACTCACCAACATCTGCCGTGAGCTCCCCTGAAAATGAGGGGGGAAAAGGTGGATTTTAGGAGCAAATCTCCCTTTTCCTGCAGCCCCAGCAGGGGGAGGTTGGAGATTTCCAGGAATTCCCTCCCCAGAAATTCTTCCCGGGATTTTTTTGGGGGTCAGGAAAAGCCCCGAACTCACCGATTTTCGTGTGTCTCTCGCCTGCAAAAACGAGGGGGAAAACCAGAAATATCCCGATTTTGGGGGTTATTTCTGGGGGTTGGAACCAGTTTGGGGATAATTGGATTAAAACTGCCCAGGGGGCAGGACGGGACTCACCGAGTTCCACCGTGAAAAGTCCTGGAAAACCAGGAAATCCCGTTAATTCCTGGCGGATTCCCCCCCTCCCCAACCTTTCCCAGCCCTTCCCACGGGATTTGCCCCTTTTTTTTCCCCCCTGGAATTCAGGTTCGGCCCCAGGGGTTGTTCAGCCCTGGGGGTTGCTCCTCCTCAGGCCCCAGATCCGTCGGGATGGGGCAATTCCAGGGAATTCCGGGCACTCACGGATGGTGGAGTCGCACTTGGCTGCAGGGAGAGCAGAGCCGGGATTAGACACAGAACTGAGCAGGAAAATTCCAAACTAGAGCTGAAAAACGGGGCTAAAAACACCCATTTTGGGGCTCCTTCCCACACTCACCCAGCTCGGAGCGGAGCTTCCCTGAAAAGCAGAGGGATAAAGGGAGTGAATTCCAACCCCTCACCAACCCCAAACAAAATGCCAGCTCTGCTGGGGTCAGTTCTGGCTGGGGATGGCCAGAAAACCCCCAAAATCCCAGGCAGAGGGGCAGCATTCCCGGATTTTGGGGAGCCCCCCCCAATCCAGGGGGTGGAGGCACTTACGGAGCCCGGAGTCGCGCTCGGCTGGGGGGGGGAAGAAAAAGAGAGGGAAAAAACACCAAAATCAGCATTTTTGGGGCATTTTGGGAGGATTTTTTGACACTTCTGTCCCTGATTTAACCCAACCACCCCCAACTCACCAACCAGCGCCGTGAGCCTCCCTGCAGGGCGAGGAACGGGGGGTTAACGCAGGAAAGGCACCAAATCCACCCCAAAATCAGGGGCTTTGGCCCCAAAATCGCGGGCTTTGGCCCCAAAATCGGGGGCTTTGGCCCCAAAATGAGGAGCAGCACTCACGGACTTCCCCGGCGAGCTTGGCTGTGGAGGGAAAAACGGGGGGCTGGGGGTTATTTTTCCTGGGGGAGAAGCACAAATTCGGGCTGGAATTTGGGCTGAAATTCCCTTTTTTTTCCCCCCCTGTTTTTTCCAGGATGGGTGAGGATCCCCCTGCCCCCAAAACCGGGGGGTTTTACCCCAAAACATGAGGAAAAATGACACTTAACTGATTTTCCTGTCACGTTCCTCTGGAAAGGTGAGGGGAGAAAGCCAGCAGAAAAATTGTCATTATTAAACAATTCCAAATTCCTTTAAAATGAGGATTTTTTTTCTTTTTTTTTCCTCACTGAAATCATCCCGGGGTGGTTTGGACTTACTGAGTTTGGTGTTGGATTCACCTGAAAAAAAACCAAACAAACCAGGAAATAATAAACATGAAAGGCTCCCAAAGGGGCTCCCCCCGCCCCATTTCCAACCTCCAGGAATTTTGAGGGCCAAATTTTTTCATTTCAGGTGTCAAATCTTCCACTTTAAGGCCAAAATTCCCCGTTCCAGGGACAAGTTTGGGGCCAAACTTACCCAGGTCCGACGTGAGTTTGCCTGAAAGGGAAGAGGAATGGAGGAAAAATCCCTTTAAATTGGTTTTTGTATCCCGGGAAACCCAACCCAGCCCCCCCCAGGAGCAGGGAAAGCCCAAAATTCCTGTTCGGGATCCACCAGAGGGTCCCAAAAAGCCCCAAATTCCACAAAACCCCTGGGATTTGGGGGCTGGAATTCCCTCAGGAAAAGGGGAAAGGCACTCACTGATCCTCCTGTCCCGCTCCTCTGGAAAAGGGGAAAGAGGGGCACGAACAGGGAGGGAAAAAGGGGAGAGAAAACAAATGTAAGGGGGAAATAATGGGAAATAAGGGGGGAAATATCCAGGCCCAGCAGGAACTGTGACCCCCCACCACACACACACACACCCAATTTGGGGTTTGTTGGGTTTGGGCACTTTAAAATCCCACTTTTTCCCTCAGAAATTGAGGTGGAAACGGGAATTAAGATGGAATTTTAAACGAAAATGGAATTAAATTGTCTTCTCGTTGATGAATCAACTTCACTCCTCTCCCAGGCGGTGGTTGAGGGGGGAAATCCCCCTTTTATTCCCAAAATCCCCCCTTTCCCCCCAAAATTCCCCCTTTTCCCCCCAAAACTCCCGGGCAGGACTCACCGAGCGAGGCCGTCAGCTGGTCTGGGAAGGACAGGGAGAGAGGGAAGGAAATAAATCTGAGATTTCCTGGGGATTTTGGGGCCCTTCCCACGGGAATGGAACCTCTCCTGCCCCTCTGTCCCCCCGTGTGGGAAACCCCCAGGAAAAATGGGCTGGAAAAGGGAATTTGGGGGGGAAATTCAGGGATTTGGGGTCAAACTCAGGGATTTGAGGTGCAAATTTAGGGATTTGGGGTGAAATTTAGGGATTTGGGGTGAAATTCAGGGATTTGGGGGCGAAATTTAAAGTCAGGCCAAGGAAGGGGAACAAATTCTGGGAAAGTGGTGGGAACATGATCCAAAAAAGGTTGGAAAATCCCGAGGGAAGCAGTTGAGGACTCACCAATTTCAGCTGTGAGCTCGCCTGAAAGGGAGGAATTTGGGAATTTTCCCATCTGAGAATTTGGTGGAGCCAAACCCCTCAAAAAAACCCCCAAACTCACCAATTGCTGCAGTTTCAGCCCAAAAAGAAAAGGAGGAAAGGAAGAAAAAGAAATTTAATTGACTTTTCTTCACTCCAGGTAATTATTTCCCTCTCACCATCAGACAATAATCTGAGTTCTGAGTGGATTTATCCCATCCACCCCCCATTTATTCCTTCTGTTTATCACTTTCCCACCTGCTTTTGGGGTTTTTAAGGCCTTCCCCTTCTGTTATTTTGCATTTTTAACAACAACAACAGCAGCAATTCAGTGTTTTGGAGGAACCCTCTCGTTAACAACGATCATTTTTGATTATTTAGCAGGACTTGGAACCCAAACTCACCGTTTTCTGTGTCACATTCCTCTGCAAACAAAGGGGAAAAAAGGACATAAATGGATTGAACTGGGTATAAATCACAGATTTGGGTGTGAATTCATACAAATGTGCACACAAATTCACAGGTTTGGGTGCAGTTTTACAGACCTGGGTGTAAATGCACACTTTTTTGGCCTGAATCCGCAGATTTGACATAAATTTGCTCTCTGGGTGTAAAATTTCCTGCTCATTCCCGGGTTAAAATCCCAACCCTGACCCCAGGAATTGCTTTTTGCCTCCAGCAGATCAAAAAAACCTGAAAACCCTCAAATAATCCCCCAAAACTCCACTTACCCAGCTCGGTGTCGCTCTCTTTGGGGAGAAAAGGAGGAAACCACGTCCAATTCCCGGGAAAAAAAGGACATTTTGGGCCCTGTTGGTGCCACTGCCCGGGGTGGGAGGGGGGGATGAAGGACTTACCAAATTCCTCCTGTAATTTCCCTTAAAAATCAGACAGAATGAGGGCAAACCTTTGGGATTGAGGCTTTTTTGGGTTTTAAGGAGGGGGGAAAGGGAGGAAGAATCTTCACTCACGGATCTGCGTGACCCATCCCTCTGGAAAAGAGACAGACAGGGGGGTCCAGGCGGCCTGGGGGGCTCTCCCAGCCCTTTCCCAACATTTATAATCCCACAATTCCAGGAATTTCCCCCCCATGGCTCCTCCCGGGTGGGTTTTGTTGGATTTTCACCCTCAGAGTTGCATTAAAAACATCATTAATTTGATGTTTTCCCAGGATTTGATGGTTTTGAGGGTCTTTCCCAAGGGAATCTGCTCCATAATCCCATAATTCCATCATTAAAGCGGACCTGGGGGGTGGTTTAAGGGTTTCTGGAACCTTCCAGGGGTGGAAGGAGGAAAATCACTCACCCAGAGCTGCGTTTTCCCCTAAAAAAACGAGGAAAAAAAGGGGGAAAGCCGGGTAAGTTTGGGGAATTCGAATTCACTCCACGGAATCTCGGGATTCTGGGATGGGCACAACCCCAGGAAGGCCCAGACCAGCCAAAGGGGGGGATTTTGGGGCCGAAAGAGCCGGAATTGGGTCCCCGATCCCTGGGAAATCCACGGGCTCCCACCTGGATCCATCCCGGCGTCGATCCCAGCCAGAAGCAGCTCCGGGAATTCCGTCGGCCTGGGGGGGTGGGGGAAGGGAAAGGAGTCGGGAGAGGGGAATTTTCCTGGAATTCTCCGGGAATTTGGGAATCTGGGGGGTGTTCCAGCCCAGGGCTGGCACCACCTGGAACGGGAATTTGGGAATTTGGGAATTTGGGAATCTGGGGGTGTTCCAGCCCAGGGCTGGCACCACCAGGAACGGGAAGAGGTTTTTCCCTCTTTTCCCTCAGTTTTAGGGCGGGAATTTCCCATTCCTGGGCAGGCCTGGGGTTGAGATTGGGAAGGAGGGGACACCCCAACCCCATATTCCCAAATTTCAGCCGTTCCAGGCCCCATTTACCCCCAAAACCAGGGAATTTGGGAAAGCAGCAGCGAGGGAAGTGGCACTGATGATTCCCACGGGATCCTTTCCCAGAAATAATGACCAGGCCCTGCTCTTTTCACCCTCCCCTTGCTTTTTTCAGGCTCCTCAGGGGATAAAACGGGGATAATAAATAGGTTTGGGTGTGGAGGACCCAAAAATTGTCCCTTCCCAGGGTTGGGATTGAGTTCCAAAGGCCCCCGAGAGAACAGGAGCCCCAAATCTGGGAGTTTGGGAATAGGACACCCCAAATCCAGGGGTTTGGGAACAGGACCCCCCCAAATCTGGAGGTTTGGGAACAGAACACCCCAAATCCAGGGGTTTGGGAACAGGACCCCCAAATCCGGGGCTTTGGGAACAGGAGCCCCCAAATCCGGGGGTTTGGGAACAGGAGCCCTCAAATCCGGGGGTTTGGGAACGCTTTGGGAACAGAACACCCCAAATCCGGGGGCTTGGGAACAGGACCCCAAATCCTGGAGCAGAGCCCGACCCCAAACTGGCCTGGGAACAGGACCCCCAAATCCAGCCCCGCAGGAACGTGGGAGGGACCTGTCTCGTGGGGCTCCCCGGAGCCCCGAATCGGGGGATTTGGTCCCAGGAAGGGGCCCCGGAGGCTCCGGAGGCTCCCGAGGAGCTGTGACAGCTGAGCTGGAGCTGAGCCCGACCCCAAAATAGCCCGGGAAGGACGGGAAATGGCCAGCCTCAGGAACGGGGGGAATGGGATCCCTGGGAGGGAATGGGATCCCTTGGGAGGGAATGGGATCCTTGGGAGGGAATGGGATCCTTGGGAGGGAATGGGATCCTTGGGAGGGAATGGGATCCTTTGGGAGGAATGGGATCCTTGGGAGGGAATGGGAGCCCTGGGGGGGAATGGGATCATTGGGAGGGAATGGGATCATTGGGAGGGATGCCCCTCTGGAATGGGAAAGGGACTCCTGGCCGTGGGGCTCCCAGACGAATCGGGATTTGGCCCAGGAAGGGGCCCTGGAGGCTCGAGGCTCCTGAGGACTGGACAGCTGAGCTGGAGCTGAGCCGATCCCAAAATAGCCCGGAGGACTGAATGGCATCCATGGGAGGGAACGACCTGGGGGAATGGGATCCCTGGGAGGGAATGGGATCCTTTGGGAGGGAATGGGATCCCTGGGAGGGAATGGGATGCCTGGGAGGGAATGGGATCCTTGGGAGGGAATGGGATCCATGGGAGGGAATGGAGGGAATGGGATCCCTGGGGATGGAATGGAGGGAATGGGATCCCTGGGAGGGAATGGGATCCTTTGGAGGGAATGGGATCCTTGGGAGGGAATGGGATCCTTGGGAGGGAATGGGATCCTTGGGAGGGAATGGGATCCTTTGGGGGAATGTGGGATCCTTTGGGGAGGGGATACAGCACCCTTGGTGAGGAGTGGGATCCCTTGGGGGGAACAGGATCCTTAGGGGAGAGTGGGATCCCCTCACCCTCAGAAACCTCCCCATCCTCCCTGTCCTGCACAGCCCCCCAAAACCCTCCCTGTCCCCCCAAATCCCCCCACCCTCCAATACTGTCCCGGTGCCCCCAAACCCCCTCTCTGCCCCTCCAGGCCCCCCCACGACTCTCCCTGTGCCCCCCAGGCCCTCCCTGCGCCCCCTTCCCCCTTTCCGTACCCCCCATGGGCGCCGCCATCTTCCCTCCCTCCCAACCGCGCGCCGCCATTTTCCCCTCCCCTCTGCGCGCCGCCATCTTTGCCGTACAGCGTGACGTCACTTCCCGTTCCGGCGGAAGCCGCCCCGCCCTCTCTGCCCGCGGCGCTCTGAGGGCTCCGAGGGCTCCGCGCCCCGAACGGCCCCAAATCCCCCGAAATCCGCCCCAATCCGCCGCCCCCCGGGGCCCCCGCCGCCAGCATGACGGAGCAGATGACCCTGCGCGGCACCCTGAAGGGCCACAACGGCTGGGTGACCCAGATCGCCACCACGCCGCAGTTCCCGGACATGATCCTGTCGGCATCGCGCGGTGCGGGCGGCGAGGGCTCGGTTGTGGGGGCACCAGCGCGGGGAATTAAAGGGGGTTTGGGGGGCACCATCGGGGGAATTGGGGCCTCGAGGAGGGTCCGTGGGGGACCATTGGAAGGGGTTGGGGGTGGTGTGAGGGGGGAGCATTTGGAGGGAATTTGGGGGTCCTGAGGGGGATCTGCAGGGGGAATTGGGGGTTCTAGAAGAGCCCATTGAGCCGGTATGGGGGAGAATATTGGGGACATAAAGGGGGGGACCACTGGGGGGAGTCCAGGGGGGCCATTCCAGGGATTTGAGGGGCACCTGGGGGAGAATTGGGGGATCCTGGGGGGGGAACTCTGAACAGGAGGACCCCCCTGACATCCCTTATCCAGACAAGACCATCATCATGTGGAAGCTGACCCGGGATGAGACCAACTACGGGATCCCCCAGCGCGCCCTGCGCGGCCACTCGCACTTCGTCAGCGACGTGGTCATCTCCTCCGACGGCCAGTTCGCCCTGTCCGGCTCCTGGGACGGCACCCTGCGCCTCTGGGACCTCACCACGTGGGTCTGGGGGGCTCTGGGGTCCTGGGGGGGTTCAGGGTAACACCCTGCGCCTCTGGGACCTCACCACGTGGGTTTTGAGGGGTCTGGGGGGGCTCAGGGTAATACCCTGCGCCTCTGGGACCTCACCACGTGGGTCTGGGGGGCTCTGGGACCTCACTGAGGGATTTTGGGGGGTCCTGGAGATGGGGTTTGGGTGACTCCCCGGTTCTTGGGGTGCAGGGAGGGGTTTGGCCGCTCCCCTCCCGATGATTATCCAACATTCTCCCGATCCCGCGGGATCTGAGGACACTCCTGCAATGATGAGGGAGGGGAGCAGCCCTGGGGGGAGGGCCAGGCTGGTTTTGGGGTGATTTGGGGCTGAATTGGCGGGGGGTGCAGCTGGAAGGGGGTCGGGATTTGTGGAGCCAGACTCATCCCACACGGATCCGGTGAGATCTGACCCTTCCTGGGTGGCTTCTGGCCATTCCTGGATGGCTCCTGGCCATTCCTGGATGGATCCTGGCATTTCCTGGATGGATCCTGGCCATTCCTGGATGGATCCTGGCCATTCCTGGGTGGCTCCTGGCCATTCCTGGATGGCTCCTGGCCATTCCTGGGTGGATCCTGGCCATTCCTGGATGGATCCTGGCCATTCCTGGATGGATCCTGGCCATTCCTGGATGGCTCCTGGCCATTCCTGGATGTCCCCTGCCCCTCCCTGGGTGTCCTCTGAGGGTTTTTGGTGTCCCCTGCCCCTCCTGGGTGTCCCTGACGGCGTTTGGTCCCCCTCAGGGGGACGACGACGCGGCGCTTCGTGGGGCACACCAAGGACGTCCTGAGCGTGGCCTTCTCGTCCGACAACCGGCAGATCGTGTCGGGCTCCCGGGACAAGACCATCAAGCTCTGGAACACCCTGGGGGTCTGCAAGTACACGGTGCAGGTGGGGCTGGGGGTCTGTCCCATTGAGGCCCAACCCCATTGATTTTGGGTCACCATCCCATTGATTTTGGGCCCAACCCCATTGATTTTGGGTCCAATCCCACTGTTTTTTGCCCGGAGTCGGGGCCCCCCAGCCCTCCCCGCTGCCCTGTTGGTGCTGAGCCCCCCCAGGGAGGGTCAGTAGGACACAGGGTGGGGGTCCCAGGGCTGTGGGGATGTTCCAGGTGGGCTCCAAGGCCGTTTCCCCGTGCAGGACGAGAGCCACTCGGAGTGGGTGTCCTGCGTGCGCTTCTCCCCCAACAGCAGCAACCCCATCATCGTGTCCTGTGGCTGGGACAAGCTGGTCAAGGTGAGCTGGGGAGGGGAGGGGGATCCCAGCCCCCAAATCCCGGGATCTGGGGGGTGTGGGAACCCCCTTTGACCCCCCCATCCCTGTTTCAGGTGTGGAATTTGGCCAACTGCAAACTGAAGACGAACCACATCGGGCACACGGGGTACCTGAACACCGTCACCGTGTCCCCCGACGGCTCCCTCTGCGCCTCCGGGGGCAAGGTACGGCCCCAAAAACGGGGGCAGGGGGGCAGGGGCACCCCAGAAACACCAGCCTGCAGTGGGGCACCCCAAAAACCCCAGCCTGGAATGAGATACCCCAAAAACCCAGTCCTGGAATGGGACACCCCACAAACCCCATCCTGCAGTGGGATACCCCCACAAACCCAGTCCTGAAATGGAGGCACCCCACAAACCCCATCCTAGAATGGTACACCCTAAAAAACTCAGCCTGGGGTCAGGGACACCCCACAAACCCCATCCTGCAATGGGGCACCCCAAAAACATAACCCTGGGGCCAGGGACACCCCAAACCCCCATCCCATGGGGTGGGACACCCCAAAGCCCCGTCCCATGGGGTGGGACACCCCAAACCCCCATCCCAGGGTCTGGGACACCCCAAAACCCCCATCCCAGGGGCTGGGACACCCCAAACCCCCATCCCAGGGGGTGGGACACCCCAAAGCCCCCCATCCCTGGGGGTGGGATACCCCAAAACCCCCGTCCCGGGGGGTGGGACACCCCAAAGCCCCCATCCCAGGGGGTGGGACACCCCAAATCCCCATCCCAGGGGTGGGACACCCCAAAGCCCCCATCCCAGGGGCTGGGACACCCCAAATCCCCATCCCAGGGGTGGGACACCCCAAACCCCCATCCCATGGGGTGGGACACCCCAAACCCCCGTCCCAGGGGCTGGGACACCCCAAACCCCCATCCCTGGGGGTGGGATACCCCTAACCCCCACCCCATGGGGTGGGGCACCCCAAACCCCCATCCCATGGGGTGGGATACCCCAAATCCCCATCCCATGGGGTGGGGCACCCCAAAGCCCCCCGTCCCTGGGGGTGGGATACCCTAAACCCCCATCCCAGGGGCTGGGACACCCCAAACCCCCTCCCAGGGGTTGGGACACCCCAAACCCCCATCCCAGGGGCTGGGACACCCCAAAATCCCTGTCCCAGGGGGTGGGACACCCCAAACCCCCGTGGGGGGTCCGTGGGCGGGCGGTGACCCCGCGGTGCCCCCAGGACGGGCAGGCCATGCTGTGGGACCTGAACGAGGGCAAGCACCTCTACACCCTGGACGGGGGGGACGTCATCAACGCCCTCTGCTTCAGCCCCAACCGCTACTGGCTCTGCGCTGCCACCGGGCCCAGCATCAAGATTTGGGTACGGAGCCCCTGGGATACACTGGGAGAGCTGGGAGAGACCCCTGGGATACACTGGGAGAGACAACTGGGATGCACTGGGAGAGCTGGGAGGGACCCCCGGGATACACTGGGATAGCCTGGGGAGAGCTAGGAGGGACCCCTGGGACACACTGGGAGGGACTCCTGGGAGAGATGGGAGGGACACCTGGGATGCACTGGGATAGATGGACCAGAAGGTTCTCGAGGGACACCCTGGCACCTTCAGGGACATCTGGGAGAGGAGACCCCCGGGACCCCCTGGGATAACTGGGAGGGGCTCCTGGGATAGCTGGGATAACTGGAAGGGGCTCCCTGGGACCCCCTGGGATAGCTGGGATAACTGGAAGGGGCTCCCTGGGACCCTCCTAGGACAGCTGGGATAACTGGGAGCCCTGGAATGCCTGGGAGGGGTCCCCGGGGCCGGGGGTGTCTGTGATGAAACTTTGGATGCCTCCGACGAGCCCGTGAGGAGACCCAGAGGCTGTTTCTGAGCGAGGCCCGGCTCCGGCGGGACTGGGGGGGATCCAGGCGGGATTGAGGGGGATCCAGGTGGGATCAGGGTGGGATCTGGGCCCCCCTGAGCTGTGGCACCCCCCGGGGCAGGACCTGGAGGGGAAGATCATCGTGGACGAGCTGAAGCAGGAGGTGATCAGCACCAGCAGCAAAGCCGAGCCGCCCCAGTGCACGTCCCTCGCGTGGTCGGCAGACGGGCAGGTGAGACCCCGGCATGGGATGGGATGGGATGGGATGGGACCCTCCATGGGGGGACAGGGGCTGGGGACCCTCCACGGGGGGAACAGGGGTTTGGGGAGCCTGGATTTGGGGGACAAGGGTTTGGGGAGCCTCCATATGGGGAGGAGGGATTGGGGAGCCTGGATTTGGGAATCCTTGGTTTGGGGACCCTGGATTTGGGGAGGGGGGTGCTGGGGACCCTTTTCCCTTCCTTTCCCCTTCCCTAAGGAATGGGGGGCTCAGGAGGGGTCGGGCTCCCCTTCCCCAGGTCTGGGGGGTCCCACCTGGGGCCCCCCTGACCCCCCTCTCCCCCTCCCCAGACGCTCTTCGCGGGCTACACCGACAACCTGGTGCGGGTGTGGCAGGTGACCATCGGCACCCGCTGATCGACCCCAAAACCGTGCGGATTCGCCCCAAAACACCAATAAAAGGCGCTTGGTGCAGCTGGAACCCCCATGGGGCGTCCTGGGAGGGGGGGGCACTGCCAGATTCTGGGGACAAAACCCCTGGGAAAGGGAAAATCCCAACAGCGTCCTCGAGGTGGGGTCTGGGGGGATGTTCCTTCACTCAAGAGTTCCTTTTGTGCTGCAAAACTCCCACAATTCCCCCCAAAAAAATCCAGAATGGATAAATTCAGGATGTGGAGGTGGTGAATGTGCCCTGGGGATTTCCAGAACAGCCATTCATTAATTAAACCTGGTAATTACTGAGAGGTTTAGTGAGGATTTTCCCACCCAGCGGCTCCAGTTGGGCCCAAAGTGCCATTTTTTTGTAATTTGGGCTTTTTTGGGGCTAATTCACCCCAAATTCCCCTGGAAGTGGCTCCTCCCGGGATTCCCCTGAACTGGAGCCTCAGCTACAACTTCTTCTTTATTCTTAATTATTGACATCTCATAAAACTAAATCTCCGTTTAATTCTCAATTTTTAGCCAAAAATATCCCGACCGAGCTCTGAAACACCAACAGGGAATTCCCAAATCCACCAAAAACCAGGAAAACACGTGGGAAGGGGGGGGCTCCCGAGTGGGAAAGGATCTGGCTGGAAAAAAAAAAGGGGAAAATAAATATCCCACTCGGGGAGCTCTGGGGGGGAAGCGGCTCCTCCCCCCCATAAAGTGCCAGAGGGGAGGGGGAAATCCGGGATTTCCCCCAAAAATGGCAGGGAAAGGGGGGAGGAGTGGGAGAAGAAGGGAAGAACAGGAACCACGGGAATGGGGGGCTCAGGTGAATCCCAAAAATCCCAGGCACTGAAAATGCGGATTTTGGGAAAGGAGGAGTTTCCAAATCCAAGAGGATTTGCCCCCAAATGCAAAGACCCCCCCCGGGGGTCCCAAAACTCAACTGGGGAAGGGGGGGAGGGCACTGGGAGGGATCTGGGAGAGGGAGGGAACAGCTCCCAGCACCAGGAGCTGGACTGGGATCCAGCTCTGAGAGGGATCCGTCCCCACTCACCCCAAACCATCCTCCATGGGGTGGATCCATCCCAATTCCAACCCCAAACCTCCTCCATGGGGTGGATCCATCCCAATAACACAGAACTGGCACCAAGGGGACAGATCCTGCTCCGTCCCAACCCAAAACTGCTGCTGGACTGTGGCAGGAGGATCCTGCTGGGAGGGCTGGATCCATTCCCATTCCAACCCCAGATCAGTCCCAAGGTGGATCCACCCCAATTCCAACCCCAAATGAGTCCCAGGGTGGATCCTGTCCTGTTCCAAGCCCGGCCCAGTCCCGAGGGGGCAGCTCCTTCCCCGTTCCCAGCCGGGTGGCGGCGGTGCAGGATCCCAGTGAGGAGGAGGAGGATGAGGATGATGAGGAGGGATCTCGGGAGCGAAGCAGGTGCCGGACGCCGAGTGCAGCCCCAGGACTGGGCGGGGGGGGCTGTTTTTGGGGGCTGTGTCCTGGGATGAGGAGAGGGGGGTTCATTTCGGGGGGGCCATCCCAGCCCTGTCAGGTGCAGATCTTGATGCGGGTGCCCTTGGCCAGGATCCTGAAGAAGGGGAAGACCCTCTCCCGGCAGCAGATGTGGAAGGTGTGGATGTGGCTCATGCTCTCGGCGTTGTAGAAGCAGAGCTGCCCCCGCTCGTAGTCCAGGTAGACGCCGAAGCGCCGCGGCTGCTCCCCCGGCGCCAGCGCCGTCTGCTCGGTGGCCGTCAGCGCCTGGTACTTCTTGCCCGTGGTGCCCACGGCCCAGATCTCCCTCTTGGGGGGCCCGGCCGAGCCCCCCTTGTGGCGGGGCCGGGCGCTCTCGCGCGCCGCGCCCACGGCCCAGCCGCGGCGCCCGCCCACCTCCACCTCCCAGTAGTGGCGGCCGGCGCTGAAGCCGGGGCAGCCCAGCACGCACAGGTCGCCGTCCCCACGCCCGGGGGGGCTCCGCACGCCCCCGGGGGGCTCCGGGCGCCGCTCGCCCAGCCGGACGCTGCGCCGGTCCAGGGACAGGCAGAGCCGCGGGTGCGCCGTCGACGGGTCCAGGGTCACGTCGGCTGGGTGGGAATGGGGGGGTCAGGGGGGCTCAGGGAGCCCGTTCGGATCCGGTTATGGGGGGCTGAGCTCGGGGGCTCAGCCACAGAGCCCCTCAACCCCCACTGGCACTCCCTCAGCCCCACTTTCCAGCCCTTGGACCCCAAATGATCACCTCTCAACCCCCCACTGGCACTCCCTCAGCCTCCAATTTCCAGCCCTTAGACCCCAAATTCTCACCTCTTTAACCCAAATTCTCACTCCCTCAGCCCCACTTTCCAGCCTTTCGATCCCAAATTCTCACCTCTTTAACCCAAATTTCTCACTCCCTCAGCCTCCCATTTCCAGCCTTTTAACCCTAAATTACCAGCCTTTTAACCCTAAATTTTCACTCAGCCTCCAGTTTTCACCCCTTTGACCCCAAATTCTCACTCCCTCAACCTCCAATTTCTAGCTTTTTAACCTCAAATTTCCACCCCTTTAACCCCAAATTTCCAGCCCTTTACTCCCCAGCTCTCTCTCCCCCCTGCCCACCTTGGGGCACTTTGCTGAAGACCTTTTCCATCTTCCTCATCACCACGTCCTGCAGGAAGCAATTCCGGAACTTCTTCCCCACGTCCACGGGCACCATCTCGGGCTCCTGGAATTTGATGTTCTCACACCTGGAAGAGGAGGGGAGGAAAAAAAAGAGGGAAGAATTAGGATTTGGCTGTTTGGGGGCAGATGATGAGACATGGGGGGGCTCTGAGGCCCCTTCCCCCCAAAATTCCATCTGTGCCCCCTTAGGAATTCCCAGCTGTTCCAGGCTGGAAAAGCCCCCAGGGTGGGTTTCACCCTCCCCCCCCCAAAAAAATCCAAGGAGATTCCACTGGGAAGGACTGACCTGATGAAGGTGCTTTTGATGTCCTAGGTGGGAAACGGGGAGGAAAACAGAGGAAAAGGTTAATGAGGAATCGGACCCTGAGCAGCTGGAACCTCCAGTCCCCAGTGCTCCCAGTGTTCCCAGTGCCCCCAGCCCACCTTGAGCAGCTGGAGCCCCCAGTCCCAGTGCTCCCAGTACAGCCTGAGCAGCTGGAGCCCCCGGTCCCAGTGCTCCCAGTACACCCTGAGCAGCTGGAAGTGCCAGTCCCAGTGCTCCCAGTACACCCTGAGCCTGTCCTGTCCCCCCAGTGCCAGTGCCTCCAGTGCCCCCAGCCCACCTTGAGCAGCTGGAGCCCCCCCAATCCCAGTGTTCCCAGTTCTCCCAGTGCCCCCAGCCCACCTTGAGCAACTGCAGCCTCCCCAGTCCAAGTGTTCCCAGTTCTCCCAGTTCTCCCAGTGCCCCCAGCCCACCTTGAGCAGCTGGAGCCCGTCCTGCCTGGCCGCAGCCTCTGCCTCTGCGATGAGCCTGCCGAGCGCGGCCGCCCTCTCCTCCAGCAGGCTGAGGTTGCGGCGCTGCCGGCCCAGCAGGGCCTCGTGGCGCTCGCGGAGCTGCCGCTGCAGGGACACCTGCTCTGCCGCCAGGAACCGGTGCAGCACCTCGAAATCCGCCTCCAGCTCCTGCAGCTCCGCCTGCATCTGATCCTGGGGATGGGAAAAGGGGAGGGGACACGGATGGGACCTGCACCTCTGCCTGCATCTGACCCTGGGGACAGAGATATGGGAGGGGACAGGGGGTGGGACCTGCATCTGATCCTGGGGACAGGGACAGGGAGAAATGGGGCCGGGAATGCCAGGATGGGGCTGGGAATGCCGGGATGGGGTTGGGAGTGCCAGGACGGGGCCCCAGCTCACCCTGAGCAGGGAGATTTTCTCCTCCTCGCTGGATTTCTGCCTCAGCACCGTCTCCAGCTGCTTCCTCAGCGGCTCCAGGTGGCTCTGCAGCTTGTTCTGGGGACGGAAAGAATGGGGGGGCACCTCAGCCGAGCCCCCCAAAAACACCCCAAGCTCCCCAAAAGCCACTCCCAGACCCCCCCCACTGCTGCTTCCAGCACCCACCGCCCCCAGACTCATCCCAAATCCACTCTGAACTCCCCAAAACCCCCTTACCTCGCAGTCCTGCACCACCTCGTCGAGGGGCACGACCCACCCGTGGCACCCACCCGGCTTTGACAGCCCCCAAACCCCTCTTGAGCCCCCTAGAGCCCCCAGAGCCCCTCACCTTGCAGTCCTGCACCACCTCGTCGAGGGGCACGACGCTGTGGTGTTTGTGCCCGCGGGCCTCCCTGCACACCACGCAGATGGCGGCCTCGCCCACCTCGCAGAAGAGCTTGAGGGGCTCCTGGTGCTTGAGGCAGAGCGGGCGGGCGCGGGGGCGCGGCGGGGCGGCGGCGGGGCCGGGGCCGCGCTGGGGCCGCGGGTGGAGCTGGCGGATGATGCTGACCATGTTGGCCAGCTGGCGGTTGGGGCGGAAGCTGCGCTGGCCGAAGCTCTGCCGGCACTGCGGGCACGTGAAGGCGCCCGGGCCGCGCTGCGGGGGCCGCCCCTCGGCCTCCTCCTCCTCCTCCTCGTCCTCCTCGTCCTCCTCCTCCTCGCCCTCCTCCTCCACGTCCTCCTCCATCACGTCCTCGAAGTCCTCCTCGCCGAAGTAGAGCCCCCCCCGCGCGCCCTCGCTCCACGCGGCCGCTCCCTCCTCGTCCTCCTCCTCGTCCTCCTCCTCCTCGGGGTCCTCCCACAGCTCCGCGTCCTCCTCCTCCTCCTCCTCTTCCTCCCACATCTCGTCGTCCTCCTCCTCCTCCCCCTCCACGCCGCCCTCCTCCTCCTCCTCCTCCTCCTCCTCGTCCTGCTCCACGTCCAGCTCGTCCTCCTCCTCCTCCAGCTCCTCCTCGTCCTCGCCGGGGCCCGGGGGGGCTCCCGCGGGGGTGTCCGGGGTGCCGTCGGCGCCGGGCCGGGCCCAGAGGCGGGAGATGCAGGCGCGGCAGAAGTTGTGGCCGCAGCCGATGGACACGGGCTCCGAGAAGTAGTCGAGGCAGATGGCGCAGATCGCCTCCTCCTGCAGCGTCTCCACCGGGTCGGGCCGGGCCGCGGGGCCGCCCAGCGCCGGGGGGGCCGCCATGGCGGGGGGGCTGCTCCTGCGGGGGCTGCGGGACCCCCCCCGGGCTCCCTCCGACCCCCTGGGGGTCCCTCTGACCCCCCGGGGGTCCTCACTGACCTCCCGGGGGTCCTCACTGACCTCCCGGGGGTCCTCACTGACCTCCCGGGGGTCCTCACTGACCCCCCCGGGGCTCTTCACTGATCCCTCTGGGGCTCCCTCCGACCCCGTGGGGCTCCCTCTGACCCCCCCGGGGGTCCTCACTGATCTCCCCCGGGGTCCCTTAACGACCCTTCGGGGGTCCTCCGATCGCCGGGGGCTCCTCACTGACCTCCCCGGGCTACTCACTGACCCCCCCGGGGCTCCTCACTGACCCCCCCGGGGCTCCTCACTGACCCCCTGAGGGTCCTCACTGATCCCCTGGGCTCCTCACTGATCCCCTGAGTGGATCCTCACTGATCTCCCCCGGGGTCCCTTAACGACCCTTCGGGGGTCCCTCCGATCACCGGGGGCTCCTTACTGACCCTCCGGGGGTCCCACCGACCCCCCCCGGGGCTCCTCACCGACCCTTCGGGGGCTCCTACGACCACCCGGGGATCCTCTCTGACCTCCCCGGGGCTCCTCTCACACCCTCCGGGGGTCCCAACGAGCCCCCCGGGCCCTCAAAGCCCCCCCGGGCCTCCCCCACGCCCGCGGGCCGGGCCCCTGTTTAGGCCTCACCGCCCTCAGCGCTGCCCGCGCCGCCCCCGCCGGGCGTGCCCCGCGTCGTGCGGGCCGCGGGCGGTGCCGGAGGAGCCGCGGAGCCCCCGCGGTGCCCCCGCCGCGTCCCCCCGGCCCCGGGTCGGGCCCAGCTCGGGCCCCGCTCGGTCCCGAAGCGGCGGCGGCTCCGCCACCTCCGGGAAGCGCCGCGGCACTTCCGCCTTCCGCCACCTGACCGGAACTGGCGCGCGTTGCCGGGCAACGGGGAGGTTTCCGCCCGCGCCACTCGTTGGTATCGGAGGACCGGAGGAGGCCGCGCTGAGGGGCGTGGCCTGAGTGGAGGGGGGCGTGGTCTCCGCAAACCCCGCCCCTCCCCGGCGTGGCTCAGCGGGCAGCGCGCGCGACCCCCACCCCTGGGACCGCGGGTTCGAGGCCCGTCCTGGGCCGGCCCGCCTTGAGTCACCCCGAAATGTCCCTTTTTTGGGGGTTTTTCCCCAATTACCCCGCCCGGCGCGGCCGCGGAGGGGTCGGGGAGGCCCCTCCCCGGGGAGCGCAGCGCGGCCGTAGCGCGGCGGGGCGCGGAGCGCGGCACGGCGTTTCTGTAGTGTAGTGGTTATCACGTTCGCCTCACACGCGAAAGGTCCCCGGTTCGAAACCGGGCAGAAACAGCTCCTTTTGGGCCTCTTTTTCCTCCTTTCGTCCTTTCCCAAAACCAGCTGGGTTGGAAAAGACCTCGGAGATCATCGAGTCCAACCTCCCTGCCTCTCGTCCCAGCCCCCGAGTTTCCCTTTATTCCCCTTTTCCAGCCCCACATTTTCCCTTCGTTTTGCTTTTCCAGCCCCAATCTCGTGGGATTTCCCCCAGTCGCTGCTCCTGCCCTGCCCCAGTTCCACCAGTTCCAGCCCTGTCTGGGTCCTCCGTCTGGGACTGGGATGGGAATGGGGGAGAGGAGGAGAAGGAGGAGGTGAGGAGGAAGAAGAGAGGAAGAAGAGGTGATGGGAGGAGGTGAGGGGGAAGCACAGAGGAGGAGGAGGAGGAGAGGAGGAAGCACCACGTCCTCACCCCATCCCTGTCCCACAGGGTCCTCAGGGCTGGGACTTGACCTTCAACCACCAGAGCATGGAGAAAGAACCTCCTCCTCTTCCCCCCCGGACCCCCAGGGACCCCAAATCAGAGCCAAACTCAGCAGAAGAACCTCCTCCTTATCCCCCCTGACCCCCAGGACCCCCCCAGGACCCCCAGGGACCCCAATTGAGAGCCGAATTCCATGTGGATGTTCCTCAGCCCTCGAGGAAGGGGGGGACACAAATTCTGTCCCTTCTGCCGCTTTCCCCGACATCGATTTCCTGGAAATCGTGAGATTTTCTTCTGAGAAAACCCAAAAAAAAAGAAAAAAAAAGGGGAAGAGGCCCCGAAACCGCCCTGGGTTTGAGATTCCGGAACCGAAAAGAGGAACCGGGAGCGAGTGGGAGGGGGGTGGGCTCGGAAAAACGGCCACGAGGAGCCCCCTCCCCACCCCCACGGACCCCCCCCCGGGGAATAACAGGCAGGGGATGAGCCCCCTGCCCATCCCGGGGGTCCCACCAGGAATAACAAACATGGGATGAGCCCCCTGCCCATCCCGGGGGTCCTGAAATCCCCGGGATGAGGGAATGAGCCCCCTGCCCATCCCGGGGGGTCCCAAAATTCCCGGGATGAGGGAATGAGCCCTCTGCCCATCCCCAAACATCCCCGACTGGTTTTCCTGGCTGGTTTTCCAGCCTGGTTTTCCAGCCTGGTTTTCCAGGCTGTTTTTCCAGGCTGGTTTTCCAGGCTCTCCGGGTGTGACTCCCTTCCCCTCCCTGGGTTCCTGATTCCCAGACGAAGGAGCTGAGCCCGAGGCTTTTCTGGGTCTCCCAGTCCTGCCCTTCCCGCTGGGAAACGTCTGCAGGAGTCGGGATTTGCATCTCCAGACCCGCCCTGGGCTCCCAGGAAAATCCATGATGTGCATTTAAACACAAAAGACACCTTTAAAAATAAATGTACGTCTGAAAAAAATAAACGTGTATTTTAGAAATAAACCTGTATTTTAGAAATAAACATGTATTTTAAAAATAAACACCTGTTTTAAAAACATAACCATTTGTTTTAAAAATAAACACGTTCACTTTAAATGCAATCAATTTACCCGCATGGTTTTATTTATGAATTTAGTTTAAAGAGGTAAATATCAAACATGTAAATGGAAATAATAAGGGAGGGAGGTGCTGAAGGTGCCAAGGACCCCTCTGCCGACACCCCACGAGGTTCTGGCCGAGCTTTTCCCACCCTGATCCCTCAGATTTTCCCCTTCTGTGGTCCCACCAAACCCCAGGGGCTCCTGAACTGCCTTTTTGGGAATTGATTTTTTTGGGGGGAATTGATGGGGTTTTTGTGGGAATTGATGGTTTTTTTGGGAATTGATGGGATTTTTGGGGGAATTGATGGGTTTTTTTTGGGAATTGATGGTTTCCCTCAGGAGCACAGGCGGAGCTGCAGCTCCCCAGGCAGAATCTCCCGGGATAAAACACCCGGAATATCCACCAGGAGACGTCACGGGGGGAGGGGGGGTGACCTGAGGCTCCTCCTGGGCTGGGAAGGATCAGGAAGGGAAGGATCCAACCCCAGGGATCCAACCCCAAAGATCCAACCCCAAAGATCCAGCCCCAAAGATCCAGCCCCATCCCACGGCTGGGTTTGGGATCCCTTGGGAAGGAATTCCAGCGGCGCTCCCGGGGGAGGGAGGAGGACTCCGAGGAGGGGAGGAAGAGCCCTGGAGAGCGGCAAACTGGAGGACCTGGTGGGTGCCACCCCCTTGAGGGGCCCTGAGGGACCCCCCCCGACCCCAGGGACCTTTCCTTGGGTCCTTTCCCAGCCCTTTGCTCCATGGCTGTGTTGGGAAGGGCGGGAATATTGCGGCTCCCTGCCCAAATTCCACCAAATTCTACCCAAAATGGGCCAAATGATGGGCGAATTCAGCAAACTCTGCCCAAATTCCCTGAGATTCTGCCCAAATTCAGGCTGTGACAGCCCCTTCCCTCCCTCCTGTTGCTTTGCCTCATCATTTGGGTTTTCCCATCCCCATTTCCCAAGGAATTCAGGGGAGCTGACCCGGGGTTTGGGATCTCCCTTTCCGTGGATTCCCGATGGTGTTTCCCAGCCTATCCCTCCTTCCTTTGGGATTTGAAAGGGGGGGCACAGCCCTGATCCCCCCCTGCATTTGGGGCTGGGGGTCCCTGAGCTCTTCCCCCCCCTCCCAAAGCTGCAGGACCTGAAAAATGAGCTGGAGAAGCGACAGGCGAGGAACAACCCCAAAATCCCGGAGCTTTCCCAGCCGGAATGCCCGGCCCAGCAGCAGGAGGAGGAGGAGAACCAGCAGGACAACCAGGTGAGGGGAACTCACCCTTTTTGGGGCTTTGGGAAGGGAAAAATCCCAGGCAGGGGGTAAGAACTGGGGTGTTCCCGGTTTCCCTTCGCTCCCCGTTCCCTCCGGGGAGCTGGAAGGGAGGTCTGAGCCGGGAAAAATGAGGGGGAAAAGGGGAATGAAATCCCTGTGGGAGGGTGGGGGGCTGATCCCCACTGCTGGGAATTTATGGGATTTTAGGGGATTTAACCCCCTGAGCTGCCTTTCCTCTCTTTTCCCCCCTCCAGGATGTGAAAAGCTCCGCCAGCAGGTCCGTGGCCTTCCCTGTGTGGTAGTTTTAGAAAGGTTCCTGAGGGTTCCTGGTGGTCCCTGAGTGGATTTTGGTGGTTCCTGAGGGCTCCTGGTGGTCCCTGAGGGGATTTGAGTGGTCCCTGAGGGGGTTTTTGGTTGTTCCTGAGGAGGTTTTGGTGGTTCCTGAGGGTTCCTGGTGGTCCCTGAGGGGGTTTTGGTGATCCCTGAGGGGATTTTTGGTTGTTCCTGAGGGGGTTTGGTGGTTCCTAAGGGGTTTTGGTGGTTCCTGAGGGGTTTTGGTGGTTCCTGAGGGGTTTTGGTGGTCCCTGAGGGGGTTTTGGTGGGTTTATTTCTCCCCCAGGGGTGGGAAGGTGACTTTCCAGCTGCCCCCGGACGCGGCTCCGGGGTCGGAGGAGCGAATCTGTCACTTCTCCTGGAGGAGCAACGCCCTGAAGGAGACCCTGAGGAAGCTCCAAGGTATTCGGGGAGGGGGAAAATAAAAACTAACCCTATTTTGGGAGAGCTGAGCTGCCCTTCCCCCATCCTGGGTGTTGACTGGGAACAGAAACAGGGCAAAGAGAATCCCGGGATGGAGGAGGGGGGGGAAAAGGAAGAAAAGGACAATTTAACACCTAATTAACGCCCCCTTTATCACTGTCTTAATTCTAAGCGTTTTGCCCCAGTTTTTTGGGGTAGATGCTTCGCTTTTAGGGTTTCTCTATTTTTGGGGTGGTTTCCATCGTGCCAATGCTTCGTTTTGGGGTGTAGATGTGTTTTTTTGGGGTCTTCTTATTTTTGGGGTGGTTTCCATCGTGCTAATGCTTTGTTCTGGGGCTTCCCTGTTTTTGGGGCAGTTTCCGTCGTGCCAATCCTACATTTTGGGCTGTAGATGTTTCATTTTGGGATTTCCCTATTTTGGGGTTGTTTCCATCGTACCAATCCTACATTTTGGTCTGTAGATGTTTCATTTGGGGGTTTCCCTATTTTGGGGTTGTTTCCATCGTACCAATCATACATTTTGGTCTGTAGATGTTTCTTTTAGGGGTTTCCCTGTTTTTGGGTTGTCTCCATCCTGCCAATGCTTCATTTTGGGCTGTAGATGTTTCATTTTGGGGTTTCCCTATTTTTGGGTTGTTTCCATCGTGCCAATCCTACATTTTGGGTTGTAGACATTTCATTTTGGGGTTTCCTTGTTTTTAGGATGGTTTCCATCCTGCCAACGCTTCGTTTTGGGGTTTCCCTATTTTTGGGTTGTTTCCATCCTGCCAACGCTTTGTTTTGGGCTGTAGATGTTTCATTTTGGGGTCTCCCTATTTTTGGGTTGTTTCCATCCTGCCAATCCTACATTTTGGTCTGTAGATGTTTCATTTTGGGGTTTCCCTATTTTTGGGTTGTCTCCATCATGCCAATCCTACATTTTGGGCTGTAGATGTTTCATTTTGGGGTTTCCCTATTTTTGGGTTGTTTCCATCCTGCCAACCCTTCGTTTTGGGGCCGTTTCCCCCCCGGTGCTCCCCGACGTGGCCCCGCAGTCCCTGCGGGAGCTCATGCCCCGTTCTGCCCCCCAGCCTCGGTGACCCTGGACCCGGCCACGGCACACCCCGAGCTGGAGCTGTCTGCGGACGGCAAGAGCGTCCGGCGCGGCGCCCGAGCCCGGCCGGTCCCCGACAGCCCCGAGCGCTTCGATTACTGGCCCTTCGTGCTGGGCCGGCCGTGCTTCGCGGGCGGGCGCCACTGCTGGGCCGTGGACGTGGGGGACGGCGGGGACTGGGCCGTGGGGGTGGCGCGGGACTCCATCGCCAGGAAGGGCCGGCTGAGCCTGGGCCCGCAGGGTGGGATCTGGGCCGTGGAGCGCTGGGGGGGGCAGCTGCGGGCGCTGACCCCGCGCCGGGCCACGCCGGTGCCGCTGCGCTGGCCGCCCCGCAGGGTCAGCGTGCACCTGGACTGCGCCGGCGGCACCGTGGCCTTCTTCGACGCCGAGGCCGGGGGGCTGCTCTTCCTCTTCTCCCGCGCCGCCTTCGCCGGGGAGCGGCTCCGGCCCTGGCTCTGGGTGGTGGGCGCCGGCTCCCAGCTGCGCCTGTGCCCCTGAGCGGGGGACACGGGGGGATGGCAGTGCCCCCTTCCCAGGGGACGCTCAGACTCCCCGGGAGCGGGAGGAACAGGGAATTTGGGGGAGGCGTTTCCTTCTTCCCCATGAAATGGGGGAGGCAAAGGAGCCCTGGGGAGGGGACCCTTGGGCACAGAAATGGGGGGAAATCCGGGGTGTGAATGTCCCCTCCTGACCTGGTCACCTCCCACCCAGGGGCTCCAAACCCTGTGTTTCTTGTCCTTTCTGTCACGTTTTTATCCTTTCCCGACCTCCAGCGGGTGGAACTGCCCAGAACCCGCTGGTTTCTGCCCCCAAAATAAAAGGGTTCCGTGGTGGCCGGCTCAGACAGCAGCACCAGCTCGGGGGGGTTCTGCCCCCAGCGGGATGTGGGGACTCTGATGTGGAACCTGCCCAGCTCCTCCTGAGCCTCAGCTCTTCCCTCTCTGCCCCCCCCAGCCATCCCGACCTGAAACCTCCCAGATTTGTGTCATTAATAATAAAAATAAGGACAGGATTTTCTGCTCTGTGTCTCTCGTGGCCCCCAGGGGCATCCCTTGCTCACCCGCTCAGGGTTTTCGGATCTTTTGGGGCACAAAACCGCCTGGACAGGGTTTGGTTACCCGAGATTCCAGCCCTGCCCCTCGAACCCGACGCCCGAGGGCAGCAAACACCGGAAAGAAAGATGTTCCAGCCTGGAAAGCTTTTTTACTTGGCGTGGCAGAGGAGGGAGAAGGGGCCGGGCGGGATGTGGAGGCACGGACGTGGCTCTGCTTCCAACCCCCGGGTTTGGGGGTGTCCTTTGGGGCCGGGGAGCCCCCCCAGGTGAGGAGGAGGCTTCGGCAGCCGGAGACGCCCCAGAGTGCTGGAGACGGGGCAGGACCCTCACGCCTTGGGGGGACCCTCAGGGGCACAGGGCGAGCCGGGCGCCCTCTCCCCACAGCAGGAACCAGGGCCGGACCCCCCGGCCCCCGAAGGAGATGGAGGGGAAGGCGAAGATCAGGGCCCTGCTGTCGGCGTCGAAAAAGGCCACCCGGCCCCTGTCACGGTCCAGGGACACGCGGACCCTGCGGGGCACCCGCACCCGCGCCAGGGGCACCCGCTCCGGGCCCGCCAGCGCCCACAGCCGCCCCTGGCACTGCCCCAGCGCCCACAGGGACCCCCTGGCGCAGGGGGGGCTCTGCCCAGGGGGGGTCCCGCTCCCCGTGCCCTCCCCGGCCACCCCCAGCGCCCAGGAGCCCTCGGGGGACACCTCCACGTCCCAGCAGCAGCGCCCGGCGCAGACCCCAGGGAGCCCCAGCACGGACGGCTCCGGGGAGTCCGAGGGGTCAAAGGGGTCTTGGGGCTCCGAGGGCTCCCCAGTGGGCTCCCACCTCACGCTGCCACCATCGGGGGCCACGACGAGCTGGGGGTGGGCCGTGTGGGGGTCCAGGGTCACCAGCACTGGGGGAGGGAAGGGAGGGATGATCCCTGGGGGTCCTCCAACACCACCCTTGGGGGGCTCTTCCCTCCCCCTCCACCTTCCAGCCATTCCCAGGGAGGATTCCCTGACTCCTCAGGGAGTTCTTCCCTCCCAGGAGACCCCCCCCAGCTCAGGACCCTCCCCAAGGTTCAGTCCAAGGACCCCCCCTTTGGTCCTCCCCTCTCCCCCCACCCCCAGGGGTCCGAACTTACTCTTTTCAGGCAGCTCAAACATCAGCACGTCTGGAAAGGGGGAGGGCAGAGACACCAACTGACGTCAGGTTTATTAACTGGGGACTCGTCAATGATTTGCTGGTTTATCAATTGGTGTTTATCGGGTGGTGCTTATTAATTGATGTAAAAACGCGGGTACCAGACAAGTTCTGCCACGCTGAGCTTGCAAATGCCATTGATATAAAATATCATTGGTATAAAATATCATTGCAACAAAATATGGTTGCAATAAAATTGCAATAAAATGAAATTGCAATAAAATAAAAAAAAATTGCAATAAAATAAATATAATTTGTGGCCACACACGTCTATAATGAACACAACAAACACATAAAATTCCACCTCATTAATATAAAAATACAACACAATCACCATCATTTCCCCCTGGCCCTCCCTCAGTACCTTGGAAGCTCCTCAGAGTCTCCTCCAGGACATCGTTTCTCTCCCTGAAGTGGCTGATTCTCTTTTCCAGCTCCGGAAGAGGCGACGGGGGCAGCTGGAAGTGTTCATTTTGGAGCCTTGGGAAGGACAGAGGGAGGAGGTCGGGGGAGCCCCAGGACCCCTCTGGGCTCAGGGGACCTCTCAGCTCGAGGGTTCGGCCCCAGCCCCAAAGATTTGGCCTCTCAGGAGGTCCAGCCCCAATCCCAGCCCCGAGGGGGTCGGGAAGCGCCGTCCGTGCCTGCTCAGGGTGCTGCCGATGTCCTGGGGGGAGAGAGGGGCAAGAGGTGACTCAGGGAACACTTTAAAAGTGGGGATGGGTTCCCAGCCGCACCCCCTCACCCGCAGGAAGGTCCTGGCCGGCTCCTGGCACTTGTCCTGCAGCTCCTGGATCCGCGTGTCCAGCCGGGAGATCTCCTGGGTCAGGCTCGTCAGGTTCTCCTCCTGCCGCTTCTCCAGGTCCCGCTCCAGGTCCCCGAGCCGGGCCAGGAGCGCCTGGGCGTGCTCCTCCAGGGACAGCCGGAGCCCCTGCAAGTGGGACAGGACCCTCTGCCGCTCGGATTCCGTCTTCTCCTGCGGGAACGGGGGTGGGAAGGGGCCCCACGCCTGATTTGGCACCTGGGGAGGGACCCCAAGCCCACCCCAAGCCCAGGGGTGACCCCCCCGAAATCCAGCACGAGACGTCCACCCCCCCCCACCCCTCCTCCCCTTCAAAGGTTTACCAAAAACTCCCAGTTTCTCCTCATTTCAGCCTCCCGGAACTCCAGGAGTTTGTCCCTGGCGTCCCTCAGGGTTTGCAGCCGGGCCTGCAGCTGGGTCTGGGGGGAGGGAAAAGAAAGGTCCCGTTTCTCTGGAGATTTGGGATGGCCCAAAAAAACTGCCCTGGGGAGGGGGCTCAGCTCCAGGACCCCTCCCGAGGATCTCCTGGGCTGGAAAAACATTCCCTCTTTTTTTTGGCTGCCCACATTCCCACTGATTCAGGGGGGAAGCACCAGAGGCTGGAGGAGGCTGAAGACCTAAATCCCTCCAGGAACAGAGCAGGGGGCTCATCCAACCAGGGATGGATCAGGAATCCAACCAGGGATGGATCAGGAATCCAAGCATGGATGGATCAGGAATCCAACCAGGGATGGATCAGGAATCCAAGCATGGATGGATCAGGAGTCCAACCAGGGATGGATCAGAGTCCAGCCAGGGATGGATCAGGAATCCAAGCATGGATGGATCAGGAATCCAACCAGGAATGGATCGGAGCCCAGCCAGGGATGGATCAGGAATCTAACCAAGAATGGATCAGGAATCCAAGCATGGATGGATCAGAGTCCAAGCATGGAGGGATCACTGAGTCCAGGGATGGATCAGGAGTCCAACCAGGGCCAAACCCCCCGTGCTGACCCCTCAAAGGGGGAAACCCACGAGGGACCAACACCCAAAGGGGCCGCAGGGGCAGCTCGGCATCTCTGCCCCGGGCCCTGCCGGGGGTCCCCCTGGGAGCCCCCCCCTCACCTGGAAGCGTCTCTGAGCCTCGGGCAGGGCCAGCAGGGTGGGGAGCCCCTCACCTGGAAGCGTCTCTGAGCCTCGGCAGGCCAGCAGGGTGTGGGGAGCCCCCCCCTCACCTGGAAGCGTGTCTGAGCCTCGGGCAGGGCCAGCAGGGTGTGGGGAGCCCCCCCCTCACCTGGAAGCGTGTCTGAGCCTCGGGCAGGGCCAGCAGGGTGTGGGCGCGGTGGGCGCGGGACTCGCGGCAGACCCCGCACAGCAGCGCTCGGTCCTCCTCGCAGAAGACCCTCAGGGGCTCCTGGTGCTTCTGGCAGCCTTCCTCCTCCTCCTCCTCCTCCTCCTCCTCCCCCTGCTGCCCCTGCTGCCCCCTGCCCGGGGCTGCCCCCAGGCCGAGGCTGCGGGCGATGCCCAGCACCCGCGCCAGCTCCCGGCCGGGCCGCAGGCTCAGCTCCGGCGCCGGCTCCCGGCACCGCGGGCACGGGAAGGCCTGGGTGGCCCATTCCCAGCAGCGGGTGATGCAGCCCCGGCAGAAGTGGTGGCCGCAGTGGATGGACACGGGGTCCTGGAAGAGCTCCAGGCAGATGGGGCAGGAGGCCTCGGGGGGCAGCTGGGCCATGGGGCACCCGCGGGGTGTGGGATCCGCTTTGCCCACCCAGAGCCAAGGGAGGCGTCCCCTTCCTGCCACCCCTTCCCTGTCACCCCCCTCCTGTCACCTCTCTACTGTCATCCCCCTCCTGTCACACCCCCCCTTCCACCTCCTTCCTGTCCCCCCCCTCCTGTCACACCTTCCTGTCACCCCCCTTCTTCCATCCCCTCCCTGTCACCCCACTCCTGTCACCCCCGGGCAGGGAGAGACCCCCCAAATCCTCCTGGTTGCTCCCCTAGGGTGGTCCCGGCTCCCAAACCCTGTCCAGGTGGGATTCGTGGGACAAAACGGTGCCTGGGGGGGCAGGGGGAGCAGAGAAGGGAGGTGGGAGGGGAGACCCCCAAATTCCTGGGAATTCGCAGCCTCCCCCCTCAATAAATCGACCTTTACTCCACATTCACCGAAAATAAAGCTGTTTTTGAGCACGCAGAGCGAGCCGCGGGTTTCGCTCTGACTGTGCCGAGCTCGGCGGGGAAATTCGAGACGAGAACTTGTGCGGTCACCGCCTCGGCCCCCCCTCCCACCCCCAGAGCCCCTTCCTGCCCAAAAGGGGAAGTGAAAGGACCCACAAAAGGGGTTGTGAGTGAAAGGGGTTTGTACCTGCACGGGCAGGGGAGGAGAGCAGGGAATTGGGGAATTCTCAGGAATTAGGGTGTGGAAGCAGCAGCAAAGGATGAGTTTCGGGGGAGGTTTGCTCGCTGCAGGTCTCTTGAGCCCCGTGCCCATCAGTTAATAAATTAAAAGTGAATGAAGGGATTATATACGTGTGTAAATTAAATCAATCGATGAACTGATTAAGATCAGCAAAGCCAGGCTGGTTTCTGCACAGGGAGGTTTTGGGAGGCAGATTCTCACTTTCCCCTGGGTGTTTTGGGTGGGTGGTGATGCGGGAGCTGCAGGTGGATCCCACCCGAGCCAGGATGGAACCAGAGGATGTTTAATTCCCATTTAACCTCTTTCCAGCGGGCGGGGAGGGGGATTCTGCCACCTCCTCGGTGTCCAACCCAGTGACAAACCCGGAGGGTCTCAGCTCAGACCCGGATTATATCAGATTAAACCCGGAGCATCTGAGCTCAACCCCGGAGCATCTGAGCTCAACCCCGGAGCACCTGAGCTCCCCCTCGCCTCCCCCGGGGCCGAGGCAGCTGCAGGAAGAGGAGCAGCCGCTGCAGAAAGCGAAACCTGCGCCGTCATTCTCATCCTCCTCGAACTCCTCGTCCTCCTCATCCTCCTCGAACTCCTCGTCCTCCTCGTCCTCCTCATCCTCCCCCCAGCCATGACCGAGGAGGGTCCCGCCGGGAGCCTCCAGAGCGAGGCCTCGTGTTCCCTGTGCCGGGGGCTCTTCCAGGACCCCGTGTCCATCCACTGCGGCCACTCCTTCTGCCGGGGGTGCATCGAGAGGCGCTGGGAGGGCTCCGAGGGCTCCTTCCCCTGCCCGCTCTGCCGGGAGACGGCGCCGGAGCGGGGGCTGCGCCCCAACCGGGAGCTGGCCGGGATCCTGAGCATCGCCCGGCGGCTCAGCCGGAGGCTGCCCCGGCCCGGGGAGCCGCTGTGCCCGAGGCACGGCCGGGCTCTGAAGCTCTTCTGCGAGGAGGAGCAGACCCCCGTGTGCCTGGCGTGCCGCGAGTCCCCGGCCCACCGGCCCCACTCGGCCGTGCCCATCGAGGAGGCGGCCGAGGAGCGCAAGGTGGGAGGTGTCCGCTGTCCCTGGGGATGCGGGAGGAGGAGGAGACCGGGGCAGGCTTGTTTTCCTCGGGAACACCCGGATTGTCGCTCCTTCAGCCCGTTCTGTGCCTCGCCGCGTGGGAGTCGCCCCCTCCCCTGCCCGCTCCGCGATCCCACATGGATCGGCCGGCGGAGGGAAAGGCACCGACTCCGTGTTCCTTCTCCTCCCAGGAGAAACTCCAGGCTCACGCGCAGATCCTGAGGGACAGGAGGGAAAAGCTGCAGGGGATGAAAGCGGCCGAGGAAGGGAAAAGCCTGGACCTGCTCGTGAGTGTCCGGCCCTGGGTGGTGATGGATTTACCCCTTCCCTTCCTTCTCCTTGTCCCTGGTGATGGGTGTGGAGACACTCCTGTGCCCGCCACCACCTTCCCAGGGAAGAATCTCTTCCCAAAATCCAACTGAAACCCGGGTTTTGACAGGTTATTGTGGATCTTTTTCCTCCCACAAGCGGGACACGTTCCCAGATTCCCCCTATGGATCCACAGGGAAAGCAGGAATCACTTGATTGCACCTTTGTTGCCCTGTTTTCTCTTCCCCTGATCTCTGTCACTGACTAATCCATTTATGGGTTTATTTTCCATCTTCCCTCGTCGTCCAAAGGTCTGGGGTGTTTTGGGTACAAAGATTACGGGCCAAGGGAAAAGCCCTTTCCCAGCAACTCCCAACTAGAAGTGGCCAAAAAAGAAAAAAAAAAAAAAGGGTCTTAATTTAAGATGGGGTTTTCTGGCTGTGGGAAATCATCCCTCAGAGTGTCTCTGGACATCCCCCTGCCCCGTTCCTGCCCCTCTGTTCCCGCTGCAGGAGCGGGTGGATGCGGAGAGGAGGAGAGTGGTGTCCCAAATCCGGGAGCTGCACCGGCTCCTGGAGGGGCAGGAGCGGCTCCTGCTGGAGCGGCTGGCGAAGCTGGAGCGGGACATCCTGGGCAGGCAGGAGCAGAACATCGGCAGGCTCTCGGAGCAGATCTCCTCCGTGGCCGAGCAGATCCGGGAGCTGGAGGAGAAGTGTCAGCAGCCGCCCTGGGAGCTCCTGGAGGTGAGACCCCCAGGAGACCCCTGGCCTTGGCCACCGAGCCCCTGGCCGAGCGAGTCCTGAGTGGAACCACAGATCGTGGTTTGGGTGGGGAGGGACCCCCCTGGACCACCACAGGTTCCCCTGCCCCAAAAACTCCCCATAAAATGCGTCATTCAAAGCTTTTCTCCCCGGTGATCCCCTTTGGGTGACCACAGGGTTGGCCCAGCTGTCCACTGGGGCCCTGCAAACCACCCTCAGGGCGTGGGGTTCACCCCCACCCCCGATGAACCCCTCAGAGGGGGTGTGGGGTTCACCATCACCCTCAGTGAACCCTCACAGGGTTCACAGCAGCAGGAACTCCCTCCTGCCGGGGCAGGCCCACGAGAGGGGCGGGTGATGCCGATGACCCGACGAGCTGCTCGTTAGGGCACTGTGACCTCACCCAGGATCAGAGCTCAGGGATCACCTCAGGGCCGTCATTTGGGGCGGGGCAGAGCCCCGGGGGTCACCCCCAGGTCCCCCCTCTGGTGTTTACAGCGAGGCTGACGCTGCCCTGACCTGGTTCCCCCTCTCTCCCTCTCTCCTGCAGGGCAGCACAGACATCCTGAGCAGGTTTGTGGCTCCCCATCCACGTTCCTTCCACGTTCCTGTTGTTTTCCCTGGGGCTGGTGGGCCCCAAAACCCCCCAAACCCGTGACCCCTCCGTGCCAGGGACATGTGGGACACAACCAGGACACCTCAGAGGCCCGAGGAGGCTGGTGAGGGGCAGGGCCAGGTATCAGTGGGACGAAGGCACCTCCAGCTCTGCTGCTGCCCCTCTGTAACCCATAAAACCCCTCCTGCTCCTGCAGGAACGAGCTTCTCCTGGTCAGCCTGTCAAGCACAGGGAGCCAAGAGCTAAAACAGGTGGATTTTAATGACTGAGGGGTCCATCCAGGTGGGAGGGAATCCAGACTGAGCCTTTTTCCAGGCTGGAGGAGGAGAGTGCCCAAGAGCCAGCAGAGACACCACCTGAGCCAGCAGAGCAGCTCACGGGGCTGCCCCAGCCAAACATCGCCCTCAAAGAGATGCTGATGATGTTCCAAGGTATGGAGGGACAGGCAGGGGGCTGGGGGTGGGACTGGGTCAGTGCCACCCCCAGAAATCACCTCCCAGGGCTGAAAATCCCAAACCTTTCCACGTGGCAACTTGGGACAGGGGGAGTCACGGGACACCTGAGGATTCCTCTCCTCTTCTCAATGGACCTGCGAGAACATCCCCACCCGAGACTTTCTTTGGCTCCAAACCAAGCTCCCTTTTTGTGGTCTTTCCTCCTCTCCCTTGCCTTCCCACCCTCCTCTCCCTTGCCTTTCCCACCTCCTCCCTGCTGTTTCCACCCTCCCTCCTTGCCTTTCCCAGCCTCCTCCTTGCTGTTTCCACCCTCCCTCCCTCTGCCTTTCCCACCCTCCCCATCCTCTCCCGGGCCCACCAACCCCCCCCCGGAGCCCCCTGACGCTGCCCCTGCCGTCCCTGAGCAGAGAGCCTGACGCTGGACCCGGACACGGCGCACCCTCGGCTGGCGCTGTCGGAGGACGGCAAGCGGGTGCGGTGGGAGCAGAGCCGGCGCAGCGTGGCCGACCACCCCAAGCGCTTCGACGCCTCTCGCTGCGTGCTGGGCCGCCAGGGCTTCAGCTCGGGCCGCCACTACTGGGAGGTGGCGGTGGGCGGCGGGGCCGCCTGGGCGCTGGGGGTGGCGCGGGAGTCGGTGCGCAGGAAGGGCCGGCTGCGCGTCAGCCCCGCCGGCGGCATCTGGGCCGTGGGGCGCTGCGGGAGCCAGTGCCAGGCCCTGGCCTCGCCCGCCGTGCCCCTCGCCCTGCGCGAGCCCCCCGCGCTCGTGGGGGTCTACCTGGACTACGAGGGGGGCCGCGTGGCCTTCTTCGACGCCGCCAGGGAGGCCCCCATGTTCGCCTACCCCCCCGCGTCCTTCGGCGGGGAGAGGGTCCTGCCCCTGCTCTGCCTGGGCAGGGGGGGCCACTTCGCGCTGTGCCCGTGACCCCCCGCCCGGGGGTGGCCCCCGCTCCTGCCTTGCCCCCCAGGGCAGCTTTGGGGGCGGAAAATTCCCCTTTCCCCGCCGGTTCTGTCGGCGAGAAGAACGAGCGTGGGACGATCCCCACCCGAGGGCCAGGAGGGACTTTGTGCTTGAGTGTGGGGTGAGGGGGAGGAGAGGGGGAGGGACCCGAAATAACGGGAAATTGGGAATATTGGGGTGCGGCAGAACAATCTCCTGGGAGCTGGGATCCACCAGGGGCATCTCCTGGGACCTGGGATCCATGGGAGTCAAATCCTGGGAGCTGGGATCCACTGGGGATCAAATCCTGGGACCTGGCATCCACCGGGATCAAATCCCGCGGTCTGTCCGTCAGAGCCACGTCCCAAACTCCATCAAGATCGTGTCCCAAGGTCCTTTGGGGTGACCTCCATCCCAAGGATTTCCATGTTTTACATTTCCAGCACCTCCCTGGTGGTCTAGTGGTTAGGATTCGGCGCTCTCACCGCCGCGGCCCGGGTTCGATTCCCGGTCAGGGAAAGTTCTTTTCACTTTTCCCGACCCTCGAAACCCCTTTTTTCTCTCACAAACTTTTCATTTTTTAACGCCTCACGACCCCCGAAACATCCCATTTTCTCCCCATTTTTTCGTGCCACTCCCTCCCCGAGTCCCCCCCCTCCTTCCACCCCCCCTCGATTGAGCAATAAATTAATGAATTAATTACTCAGTGACGTTTTTTGCAGTTGGCTGTCACTCGGAGTTTCAACGCTGCAATCAAATGATGGGGATTTTTGGCGGCTCCTGAGGGGGTTTGGTGGTTATTCTTTATTTCACGGGCGCTTTTCGCGGGGGGGGGGAGGGGAACGATCTAAAAATAACTTCAAAAAGGGATTCACGCCTCGGGAAAAAAAAAAGGGGGAGTGACAACTTGAAAGGGGAGGGCGGCCGGTTTTAAAAGGGAACGACGATTGGGGAAGCGATAGAAATTAAAAAAAAAAATAGGGAATTCGGGGCAGGGAAAAGGGGGATTTGGGGAAAAAAAAAAAAAAAGGTGGTGGGAATAAGCGAGAGGTAAAAAAGGAGGATTGGGAAGGAATTTCCCCCCGGGAAAAAGATGTGTCAGGAGTGGGATTCGAACCCACGCCTCCAGGAGAGACCAGATTTCCCGTGGGAAGGTTTGAACCTTGAGTCTGGCGCCTTAGACCACTCGGCCATCCTGACAGCGATAACACAAGCGGAAAAAGGACAATTCCAATCGAGAATAAAGAGTGTTTTGGGGCTTTTAAAGCCTTTTTTAGCAGGAGGATTTTTCGGGTTCGTTTCGGTTCGTTCGGGTGGTTTTTCGGCCGTTTTGTTCGTGCGGCGCTCGCTGCAAGTAATAATAAGAATAATTTAAAAAAGAAATGGAATAACGGTGGTGATTAAAAGTAACGGGGAATAACAACTTAAAATCGTATTATTAATATTAATCGGAATATGGCACTATTGTGGTTTGATTGCTCGAATAATGGACATTAACATGCACGAATACTAATTTATAGTTCTCTCACCCAACGCGGCTCTCGGACAAAGAGCGAAAACGATTGGATTTGGGTAAGCAGAAGGTAAAAGGGCGCAGATTTGGGTAAATAAAGGCTGGAAAAAGTGAACCTTCGCCCAACGTGGGGCTCGAACCCACGACCCTGAGATTAAGAGTCTCATGCTCTACCGACTGAGCTAGCCGGGCTTCTGATGAGAAAGTAAATTTATTATTCTTTGGCTGCATTATTGTCCCTTTTCAGCCCATTTTTCCCTGGAAAAGCGAATTTTTTTGGGGGAGAATTAAAACCCTGGGAAAAAACCAAAACAAACCAAAACAAAACAAAAACCAAACCTCGCGGGGCTTGTTTGGCGTTTCCACCAATTCACGCGATTTGGGGCTCGGGGGTGAAAAAACCTCCTTAAAGTTTTTCCCTGCTCGGATGGATCTCCGGGGCGGCCGCGGGGAGGTGGGATTTCCTGGGGTTTCCTGGGATTTCCCGGGATTTCCCGGAATTTTCTGGGGTTTCCTGGGATTTCGTAGAAAAGGTTTTTTGGGTTTTTTTTTACCCCCTATTGGGGTCAAACAGTGCAGGGGGTCCCACGGAGGTTTCTGTAGTGTAGTGGTTATCACGTTCGCCTCACACGCGAAAGGTCCCCGGTTCGAAACCGGGCAGAAACACCCCAGTTTTGGTTGCTTTTAATTGATTTTTGCGGTTTGATGTTTCTCTGAGTTCTGCGATGGTGGCGCTGGCAAAAAAAAATCTGGTTTTATAGCACCCGATATATTGACTTGTAGTCCTTTTCCATGAATTTTTGGCTCGATATTCCCCCCAAAAATCTGTATTTATGGCACCAATTCCGTAATGGTGATGCTTGCAAAAAAAATGCGCCTCTACAGCACCAAATATGTTGCTTTTTACCCTTTTTTATGATTTTTGTCTTGACATCCCTCCCAATTCCGTAATGGTGGTGCTTGCAAAAAAAATGCGCCTCTACAGCACCAAATATGTTGATTTTTACTCTTTTCCATGAATTTTTGGCTCAGCGTTCCTCCAAATTCCTGAATTGCAGCACCTAAAAAAAAATCGGCAGCAGGTCGGCAGAAGGGATTTACTTTAATTTATCCATTCATATTCCCCGTGGGGTTGGAGTTACCTCCTCCTCTCCAGAGGCACAAATGCACCCCAGATGGGGCGGAACTGGTGAATTCAGCTGAATTTTGGAAAATATTTGAGCTTTCCGTTCCCTGGCCGGGAATTGAACCCGGGCCGCGGCGGTGAAAGCGCCGAATCCTGACCACTAGACCACCAGGGAGCTGATGTTTGCCCTAAACTGACGGATCTTGAGGGTTTTGGGCATCGTGAACCCCCCCCGGAGGAGGAGATCAATGAAGAGCTTTAAAGGACCGGACTTTGCTCTGAAATCTCGGCCCTCCTCGGTGGTCCCGGGCAGAAACACTCGTTTTTCGGGGAAGTTTTGGTGTTTTTTTTTTAATCATTTCCCTCGCTTTTCACCCATTTCCGCCCTCCCGAACGCAGCGAGGAGGGGTTGGAACTAAAGGGAGTTAATTAAGGGAGAGAAGGGAGATTTAAATCTTCGAAGAAGGAACGAAGAGCGATAAGGAAAAGAAATAATTAAAAGGAAGAAAGAATTAATTAAAATCAGAAGGGAAGCCGAGGCAGCGAGGGCCGTGTTTCCCAGCGGATTTTGGGGCTGGATTTGGGGTTTTTGGTATTTTAGACCAGGTTCAAGGGACGAATTCTCACGGTTTCTGTAGTGTAGTGGTTATCACGTTCGCCTCACACGCGAAAGGTCCCCGGTTCGAAACCGGGCAGAAACACTCCTTTTTAGTCTTTTTCCCCTTTTTTTTTATCCCCCCAGACTTTAAAGGCTTTGGGTCGTTTAGGGGGCTCGGTGACGATTAAACGTCGCCCTGATTCGGTTGGAAAACGGGCCTTAAATAATTGCCTCAGACTCTTTGCTTTTGGGGTTTCAGGAACCCCCGAAAAGGTTTGGAGTGAAGGTTTTCAAAGGGGTTTTAAGGGAGCGTTTCCTCCCTTAGGAAGGGAAAGCAAGAGCCGAGGGGGCGAGGGGGACGTCCCTGGGGGGAGCGAAAACTCCGACACTTTTTTTTAGGGTGAATCCCCCCAAATTCGGTCCCCCGGGACCCTTTTCTCAGGTTTCTGTAGTGTAGTGGTTATCACGTTCGCCTAACACGCGAAAGGTCCCTGGTTCGAAACCAGGCAGAAACATAGTATTTTTGGGGATCTTTTTCCCCCCTTTCCCATTATTTTTGCAGCGCCTCGTCCAGGAGTCCCTCTGGGATTTTACCTTTTCGATACCAAAAGAGAAAGGGAGAAAACACGTGGAGACCCTTTTTTACAGGAAATTCAGCACAACCCTTCTGTGCCCCTTTTGGGGAGGGTTATTTGGAAGGAGGGGGGAGGAAAAGCCTATTTTTCCCCACCTGTTTTTCTTGCTTTTAATCCCTTTTTAATCCTGGTGGGGAAAAAAAAGGGGTTTTCTGCGGCTGCTGGGAGGCGGTCACTTTGGGGCGGTTAATTCTGGGTAAAAAAGCAGTAGGATCAGTAAATGCGAAGTTGCTGAACAGGTTCCCTGGTGGTCTAGTGGTTAGGATTCGGCGCTCTCACCGCCGCGGCCCGGGTTCGATTCCCGGTCAGGGAAAGTTGCTTTTTCTGGTCTTAAAACGATAATAATTTAGAATTTTATCTTAATTTTTTTTTTCCTTCCAGTTCAGCCGCACGGACTGCGCTCTGCGGAGGGTCCCGTCCAGAGACGATCCAATTCCCACCCCGAGAAATCCCATTTTCCTGATTTTATTTGGATTTTGAAGGGCTGTTCCATGCTGTTTGAACAAGAGCCCGGCTAGCTCAGTCGGTAGAGCATGAGACTCTTAATCTCAGGGTCGTGGGTTCGAGCCCCACGTTGGGCGATCTCTCTTTTCTTTTTTTTTCACCTTTTCCTTCCCGCAAAAAATTTTAGGGATAACTCCGGATGGAGCAGCAGAGCCGGGAAACGTCCTTGGGGAAGAAGGGGCTCCATCTCCCAACAATCCCAGTGCCCTTTGGGAGTCGGGGTGTCCTTCCCTATCCCTGCAAAAATTCCCTCTCTCGCCTTTTTGCATCATTTGTTTTAAACTCTCCAACAATTTCTGACATCAGAGATTCCTCCTCCCTCTCACCTCAATCCCCATCACTGAGTTATTTATTCCTGCACAAATAATAATAATAATTATTATTATTATCTATTTTGAGCCCTGAAATGGGGGGGTTTCTGCCCTCAGAAGGTGCTTTGGTGCCAAAAATGGAGGGGTTTTGGCCCTAAAAAATGCAGGCTGAGTCCTAAAAAGGAGGATTTGGTCCCTGAAGGAGGGTTTGGGGAAGTCAAAAATGAGGGTTTGGGTCCAAGAATGGGGGTTTGGGTCTAAAAAGGAGGGTTTGGGTCTAAAAAGGAGGGTTTGGGAC